CGCAATAACTGTTCGCGCAACTCTGGCATGCGATGTGGATCGGACGACATGCTAAAACAATTGGGAGGGGGCGGCGGGGTGGACGCAGCTGCAAGATTAGACGCAATCTGACAAGGCGGAAGCGAGCGAAGAGGCGGAAAGGGATGGGTCCCCGGTTTGCCCCAGGACCGCAAGAGGGCGCTGGGCCCGCCATCGCGCGCGCGGCTGCGCCCGCCGCTCGAAGTGCGCGTCTGCGCGCGAGACGGAGGTGAATGCTGATCTGGAATTTGTCTGCGGGCCTCGCATTGAGTTTGTCGCGCCAGGGAACAATGATACAAATCACAAACAAACTTCGTTGCCGATGGCACTTGGCCGGCGAAAATTACGCGAGGCAAAATGAAGTAACCGGGGTGTGTTTTCCCGAGCTGATGGGCCCTGCAGCCTGGAAGTGACTCAATTGTTTACCGGCCCCGCGTAGAGCGCCCTGCGACTGGGCCTGCAAACTAAAGCGATACCCCGGCGCCCCAATGTCTTCCAAACAAGGGCCGCGCGCAGGCTAGCAGCCGAGTCCGCGCCCATGCAGACTGGCGCCTCGACGACGGCACCAACTGATTGAGCCCCTTCTGTTCCGACCCCTTCCGCGCCGATCGACCGCGAGAACTGGCGAAATTGTCTTCGAAGCAGCAGTTGAAAGCGACGCCAACCACCGTTTTGACCCAGCCATCTCCGCGCAAATCACTGCGCGCACCTGGGCCCGCGAGAAGACCGACTCTACCCAGAGACAACGCGTGCATTGCGCGCTGCTCGCAGCGCTGTCACACCCTGCCAACATCCATGGGGAAAACGCATGTGCGTCTGGGGTCATGGGTAGCGCGACTGAGGCGCTCCAGACATTACCGTGCCCGGTTGCCGACGATATCCTGATCCACGCGCAGAATATCCCAAACTTGGCGAAGTTGCTGCGCCAAAATTCGACGCGTTCCCTGGTGTCGGGTTGGTGGAGGTGCCGTCTGCATGCGGTGCTCCACCAAGTCCCGACTCGACGCCGTCGCACAACGAATGCGTCTGAACTCGCGCGTGCGCGCGCTGTGTTCGCTGGGCTAAATGATCAAACGCGCGTTCAAAATAATGCTTTGCCGCGGGACTCGCAATGTAGGTCGCGCGATCGATCGTTTGGACAAACATCCTTTCAGCAGGTGCCGAAAGCGCGGGGTGACTGTGATGCTGCGGTTTCTTGGGGCAGCTCCGTCAGACACGGTGTTCGTTTTCGCGCTGAGCGCATTTCGTGACTCCCCCGTCAATCCCGATGGGTGCTATTATGTGGGTAATGCTTGCGCTAGCTTTGCTTTGCCGGGACAGGGAACGCGACAAGTTGTTCTTCGATGTTGTCGTCTTCGCAACTATAACAGACATTACAAAACAACCGACTTTCGAACATGTTGCCACAATGTTTCGCGGGGCGTGCCCCATACGAGTGTTCGCACTGCGCTTAGTCATTAATTTCCTGAACCTGCGACGGTGACCCATGTATGTATATTCGTATATATGTATAAATGTATATATGTATATGTGTATATATATGTAAGCTGCTGATAATTCCGCTGCTACCTTGTTTCCTGCCCAAATTGCGCTACAAAGCCCGCGACTTCTCTGCCAAAGTCGTTTTCTTCATCTGATTTTGTGTCTATTTCAAAATGAGGTCATCCAAATGTGAACCAACAACTGTGGATCCGAACCTTTCCACACGTCACCCGACGTCTTCCCTAATGCCAGTATCACCTGTGCTCAGAGATGAAGTTTCGTGCTACTCCTGCTCGTTGCCCCCGAACCCCAATGGCAAAGTGCCACCCTGGGAATGGATTCGTACATGTACGTCGCTCCCTGTGCGTGTACCGAGCTCTGCTGCTTTAGCATGGAGAGGTTGCTGGGGCCTGTCTCCAAAAAGAGCGCTGCTTGTTTCAAAAAGTTGCGTAAACGCTTATAAACTTCACTGTCTCGCGACAGGAGTCCCCCCAGATGCGCTTGCATCACCGATTCGGGCGACTGGTGCGCAGAAGCCCTCAACGCGAACAGCAACGACCAGCTTTTCCCAAGGTGTGTCATATCGAAAACGACGCCGTCTATGTGCAACGCAATCTATACCAAAACTAATAATGGCTTCATCAATGGATTGCCACCTCGAACGTGCGAGCGACATGATACCGTTGATTGCTCGAACGCTCTGTTCAAGATCGTTCCCGCCATGCTCCCCCGACAACTTGTGATTCAGAACACGTAATCCTGGAACTCGTTGCGGGCCTACGCCGTCCATTAAACCTAAAACGCGGCCGTTGGTCAGGGGTTTCTGGTCCAGGTCTTGGGCCATAGCTCGGGCCGTACCCGTGCGAGACACGACCGCTTGGTGTGTTTGATTGTACGGAAGCGCCTGAAGCCAAACTCCACGTCATGACATCCTTGACCCAACGCCGAAATTGATACGTTCCTTCCATCACTGAGCCCCAAGTCGGGACCATCTTTAGCACTCTGGGGCCAAACCATGGGGAAGAAGGGTGTTGTTGGCTCGAACCGGAAACTCGTGGGTACAGCGGGGGAAATAACACCCTAGGTGGTGCTCCATGACGTTTCCCCTTCGATCCGTACTAACCTATACCGGGGGCGGGGGGGCGCGGATGGCAGAGAGCCCGCTCCGCTACCAACGAGCTCCGGGTAGATCAGTGGTTGGTGAGGCCGTGAGCCGTGCAATCGCAATGGCGGGAAAATAGCGAGCAATGAACAGAAAAAACTACGGGATGGGATATGTTCAAGTACGCAGCGATGTCAATACAAAAGTACGTGTATGTACGTATGTATGTATGTATGTATATATAAATACTTAAAATTTGCAAATGTCAGTGCCGCTCGGCTGCGGCATGCGCGGCTGGGATGATCCCGCCCTGTCTCTGGCCGTTCCTGACTGAATCATGGAAGGGAGAAAGAGGGACGGGGCAGGAGGGAAAAGGAAAGAAGAGAGGGGGAAACATAAATCTGGAGGGGAGACATATGGGGGAGAGAGTGGGGAGGAAGAGAAGATGGAGGGAAGAAAGGCTCCTGCCCGAGAGCAACGATTGTAATCAAAGGCTCACTCGTGCCACTACGGAATGCAACGGGTCCGCCGAAGTGCTTGCCACGTTACGGCCAGTTGCCGCCTCGTTGCCGTCGTGACTGGGCGGTCCGCCTAAGTTTCGCCACGTTGTCGCCCGCTGCTGCCCCGATTTCCTCGTTGCTGCCATCCGCGCTTGGGGTCCGCTTGATGTTCGCCACGTCGCCGCCGTTGCAGCTTCGATGCCGCGCCACCAGATAGCATATTCCACATATCTTGGGCCACATCGATCATACCACACAGCTTCGACAACGTAGACTACACCACATAGCTTAAACAACATAGCTCGCACCGCATAGCCTGCATCACGCATGTTGCATCGCATGGTTTACTTCACATCGATTGCGCCACGCAACTTCGACCGCACGGTTTGCACCACATGGCCCACATAGCACACCCTGCATATCCCAAGTGCAACAGCTTACTGCTTGCGCTGGCTGACGGCTTTGCTCGGGGCCTCCTGGAAAGGGGTGTGGAAGCACGCGCAGGGGATACAGTCCAGTCGCAAAAAAAGGGTGCGCGGTAAGGATGCCAACGGCCTTGAGGGCCATGCTGGCGTCTTGGAACGGGGCTGGCCAGTGAAAGTCGCAAAAGGATGGGCTGAAAAGAGAGGGTGCAAGGGCAGCCTCGGAAAGATGTATATCCCTACTAGATGCGACTTCACTGGAATCAGAGCACGCGCGAAAGTCACAGAGTGGCGGCAACGCTTGGCCCGCGCATGCAAGGAGGAATAGCCGCGCGCGCGGCCTCGCTGCGCGCGTGAGCCCTCCTGGGAGGAGAAACCGCCGACGTCGAGGGGCGGGTCGGGGCGGCGCGAGCAGGCAACAGAGGACCGATGCCTCCGTTTTTTTCGGCAGCGCGCACCCACATGGCACGAGAGCTGAAGCCAACGCACCACCTGGCCATGGCAACGCCCAGACGAGCCAGAGGCAGCGCGGGGAGGTGGCAGAGGGGGGGGGCGGCGGCGGAGGAGACGACCGTGGGGGGGCCGCGTATCCTCCCACCTACTACTGCGGGGGCGAGAACGAAAGCGGAGGGGCGCCAGGTGCGTCCTCCGCGCCCAGCGCCAGGTCGGAGGCCGCGTCCAGCGCAGCCGATGTTGTCGTGCGGAGACTGTGAGCGATGGTGGCGGTGGAAGACGAGGCCAGGGCGGAGGAGCGAGGAGCGAACGGGGAAGCGGCGAAGGGGGAGGAGGCCAACGAGGCGAAGCGAAGCGAAGCGAACACCGGAGTCGTGCGCGCTCCCGTGGGGAGCCAGCCCGTGGCGATCGGGGCAGTGCCGCGTGTAGGAGCACTCACGTCGCAACCACTGCAAGGGGAGGAGGCCGAGGAGGAGGAGGCGATTATTGTCGGGAGTGCGCTCGGCGGCCTGGCTAAGAGAAGGCGATTAGTGTTTGGGACGGGCCTAAAGCCAGCACGTCACCACTCTCAGCCAGAGTCAGAGGCCTCCGAGTCGGACTCGACGCCGTTGCGCGAGGCTCGGGGGGAGGCGGCCCCAGGGTCCCTGACCGCGATTGAGGGCGAGGAGGCGAATGAGCAGGAGGCGAGGGAGCGCGAGGAGAGGCGGTCGTGGGCGAAATGCATGTCCGCAGCAACGGCTTCGCGGGCAGGGCACATGGGCCGCAACCCCTCGGATACGGGGGCACTCTCGTTTCGGGGATGTCCCGCACGGGAGGTATCCGTGCGACCGCGTATTCGCAGGACCAGACAAACAGACAGACAGGCCCGCATTCCAGCCCCTGAGGGCGGTCCTCGCAGAGGGCAGGCGCGCGGGACACGCAGTCCCTCACATGGGAAAGACCGTGGCTAACATTGCACTGACATGTCCGCGGGCTCGCGCCCCGGAATCCAGACCGCGAGGGCGCGGATACGGACACGCGCGCCTCGGAATCGGCCTTCTCGGACGCCTCCGTCGAGACCTCCGACAGGCCCGGCTTGTTGACGTAGACGATCTCAACGCGCCGCGGCACCTTCGTGGCGCCCGGGCCACAACGCTGCGTCCTCGTCGATAATTGCGTCGTCGTCGTCATCGTCGCCCATGTCGTCGTTGCCGTCATCGTGATCCTCCTCGTCCTCGGCTTCGTCGTATTCCTCCTCTTCCTTCTCCTCTTCCTGCCCTGTCTTCCCTGTCTTACCCTCCTTCTTCTCATCGGAAGCCTGTTTTCTTGCGGAGATGTCTATAACCACGGGGACCTCTTACACTGCCACGTATTGGCCCAAAGGGATCATGGAACTCTGGGGCTGAATCAACTCAACGTCCTCGTTCTCCTCCTGGGAACCCCGCGTGGCAGAGGTCGACCAAATCGACTTGATTACCCCAAGACGGACCGCCAAGCTCGCACAATACAACTTCTGTGGATCGGCTTCCGGCAGATTCCACGTCGTGAAATAACGACGACGTCGGGACAAACGGCGACCGAACTCCTCACCCCGTCTGCGCAAATTGCCGAGGCATCGGCGACGTCGGCTTGGAGAAAAGATTGCTCCAAATCGAGCCGCATCGCAGATGCATCGGCCATGCGGCGCGATCCTCCAACCCCATCTGCGCCGACCCTAACTGGGAGGCCAGCAAAACGCCAGTCGCGCCTGTTGCTTACGACGCCCCGAATCCCATAATCAATTCCGAGTCGCTGTTTCCATGGAAAGGTGTGCCCTAGAGCTCTACTTCAATCCACATACCATACGCACAACATATACATATCTCCGATCAATAATGGCGAGAATGAAAGAACAAATCCGGGAAAACACACAAACACAAATAGTGATACCGCTACCCCATATACTTCTCAAAAAGGTGCGCCCGAACCGTGACTTCGGAGCGAATCCAACCTTGAAGCGACGGAAATGTAACGTATCGGTACCTTTCCTTCACTGGTGGCGAAGACGGCGTCAATGCAAGTGAAACTTGTCCACGCTGCTTCCCTTTCGAAGACGACTAGGGCGACAACGACGAGGACGGCGACGAAGGGTGACCCAAACCGCCGACGTCGAAACGGAAGTGTAACGTATCGGTACCTTTCCTCCGCGAAGACGGCGTCAAAGCTAGTGAAACTTGTCCACGCTGCTTCCCTTTCGAAGACGACTAGGGCGACAGCGACGAGGACGGCGACGAGGGGTGACCCAAACCGCCGACGTCGAAATATTTTCACAAACCTCGGGGGCGGCCAAGAGGGGGGCGTCAAAGAGGGGGGGGCGCAAATCATTGCCAGCGGCATGTGCGCGGCCCAGGGGGGGGGAAGGGGTGTATTGAATTTGGAAGAGGCGCCGTGAAATCTTGAGAAATATCAAGCCCCCCGCCATGATATCCACCCCCCCCCTCTAGTCCTCACCATCCTCTTGCCCGCCCCCGAAACCTCGGCCCCCAGAGGTCTGGACCCATTCTCCGGGACTGGCTTCGTGCCCCGAGTCGTTGTGTCACTGTGCTAGGGCCAGGCGAGGGCCTCCAGAGGCAGGAACCACCGAAACACCGCCCATCGCGTCCTTCTGCCGCCCGCAGGGGAGCCTGGGGAGGGATGGCGAGGATCTGAGCAGAGGAACTGACAATGACAGAAACAGAAGCATTCGGAGGTCCGCGCGGACTTCTTGGGTCCGCGCTGGACCCCCCCCCCCGGCGCGCGGAGCGCGCCAGGGGCGGCGCTGGAGGCGCCTCCACGGGGCTCCGGCGCGGAGCCGAGAAAGCCGCGCGGACCTCCGGGTTCTCATGGTTATGTCATTGTCAGTTCCTCTGCTCAGATCCTTGCCATCCCTCCTAGGCTCCCCTTCGGGCGGCAACAAGACGCGATGGGCGGTGTTTCGGTGGTTCTCATGTTTGTGTCGTTGTTAGGTCCCCTGCTGAGGGCCCACGGGCCTTCTGGGACACGGCCATGACCCGCACGCAGCTGCCCGGCGGGAGCTCGGCGACGATGTCGCTGCGGAGGGAGTCGCCCCGCCGCACGATGGAGCCGCGCTGGCTGATCACCTCCGTCTTGTGGCCAACACGCTCCCGTGTTGGTTTCTTGTTTTGAATAGGGCAGTGCGGTCTCGACTCCTTCCTCCTTCCCCCCCTCCTTCTCCTCCTCCTCCTCCTCCTCCTCCTTCTCCTCCTCCTCCTTCTCCTCCTCCTCCTCCTCCTCCTCCTCCCCCTCTTTCTGAATCCCTCCTCCTCCTCTTTCCCCATCCTCCTCCTGTTCTTCCTCTCCCTTTTTCCCAACCCTCCTGTGTCGGGATCTCGTTTTGAATTCAACAGTGCGGTCTCCACTCCTTCCTCCTTCCCCGCCTCTTGCTCCTCCTCCTCCTCGTTCCTCCTCCTCCTCCTCCTTCCTCCTCCTCTTCCTCCTCCTCGTCCTCCTCCTCTCCCTTTTTCCCGACCGTCCTATGTCGGGTTGTCGTTTTGAATCGAGCACTGTCTGGCTCCTCCTTGCTGCGGGACATCGAATCTACCAGCACCAAATGCGCTAATACGAATTGCCGCGGTGTGGGGGTACGCCAACATTGTGTCCGTCACAAGTTTCGAGAACCATTGTGAGAAAAATTGGTGATTCCCTGGCGGGTACCACGCCGGTGCATTTTCACAGGTTTGCAGAAAAACAGGCGAAATGGCTGCCCTGCGAATGGTCAATCAAGCCACCGTCCGTGCCTCCCGATGATGGAATGAACTCCGCCGCTCCGACGCGTGATTGTGAGAAGAGCGACAGCAGCCAACCGATCGAAAAGAAACGCCGCTGGAGGGGAGTCGTGCTGGGGGGGAGTCGAAATTGTGATGCCCCTCTTTGCTCCCCCCCCCGTTTCTCCCTTCCCTCCTGCCTCCCACCTTCCGCTCCTTCTTCCGAATTCGAAGCGAAAGCACACGTCCGAATTCTGAATTTTGTTCCGCATCGGAGAGGCCCCCAGTCAACAAGCCTCCTGAATCGGCCTGGAACGCTCGCACCATTTGGGAGGTCTGCGGGAGGCTGGACCTCGTACTCGTGGCCGATCACGACGGACAGCTTGGGCATCGGCTTCGTCTCCCCCAAGACCTGGGGGGCAAGGATAGGGGGGGACTGGCGCTGGGGGGGAGGAATCGATCGACCTGGAATCGGCGATACATTGCCAACATACCAGGCCCCCGATCGTGAACCCGCACGTTCCTGAACGGATTGGGGCTATCGGGCCGCTTTTGGCGATGCATGGGGGATTTGGGGTCGCTGCCTTCACCCTACTTACCAGCCTGGAACATATCCCTATCCCTATGCTCGGCATCTCCTCAACACGATGCCAATCTCGGGGATTCCCTTATTTTTTGAGGGCGAATCCCTAAGATTGTCATCGCCATTTGGCGTGCCAATCTTAAGGATACGGATACGTTCGAGGCTGGTAACATACGCCTCTCCTTCCCCATCGTTGCCCCTGAAGACCGCAGAGAGCCCAGTCGTCAGCGCCCCTCCGGCGTCGGAGAGGTGCCGCGCCACCGTGACCTGGCCGCGGGGGAGCGGGGCTCAGGCTGCATGCGGCCGGGGGTCTACGCTGCATGTGCGCCATGCAGGCCTCGATGGCCTACGTAGCAGCTAACTGGAGGGGCACCAGGACACACAAATAAATACACACAAATAGAAAAAATCCAAATATTTCCATATATTTTCTGTGTTTTTGTCTTCCCCCCCGCTTCCCATACTTTCCCATACTTTCTGGGGAATCGACGATTCATTGTGTCTGTGTGTTTTTTCCCCTCCTGGCTGACACCGACACGCATTGTTCTGTCAACCCACAATTGCGCACCCCTGCACCGACTGCACCAAGCAAGCACTTGATCGTCAGCGGCGAGGCGGCGAACTCCGCTCCAGCGAGAAGTTCTAAAAAGGGCACTAACTAGCCAATGGGCCGGCGGGCACAGAGAAGGGTGGGGGACGGCCGAGAGGGGGAAGGATAACTCAAACGCCGAAGAGTTCGACGATGAGAAGCCGGGGGTGGGGGGGCAGCAGCACCCAGGCGCGCAGGGCCAGAGCGTGGTAGCACCAAGGAAACACGGAACCACGCGAATACCAACCTGCAATTGGTGAGCCCGCAGGACCGACACGCAAGTATCTGTGATGACCACCCACCACAAGTCGCGGGCCAGGAGAAGACATAGACACGGTCCCCTGAGCAGGGACCGACAGGTCATTCCCGCAAGCCTACCCCGAAATGTTACGAGAACAGAAACAACGTTCTTAGAATGTGCATCCGACGTGATTAAAAAAACGGTCTCAACCAGAAATGTTCTACAGCGGGGGCCCGGCAACAAGAAACCTTCCACACGAAACCCAACCCTGAGACCCCAGGGCGTCACTTGATTTCTGTGCGGGGGCATCACGCCTTCCACAGCAGAACCATCGAAACCCAAGAAACCCAGGGCACCCTGGAGGCACGCAGAGTGTTTCTTGGCATGGGCCGCCACCTGTAAGAACAAGTTGAGCAAACTACAGAAGGATCTTGGACCACTCTTTCGTGGGACTCTATGGGGGCCTGGGCGCTTCGCCACTGCGTGAGGCCTTGGACCCCATCTTCTCCTCCGGAACCGTGTCTGGAGGGCCCCAGCGCATGGGAAATACCTCGGAGGGGTCGACAATAGAGGATAACCTGCAGGACACCCTTCTCTCCCAGGACCCTCAAGACGGGGCCCTGGCCATGATATCCGAAACGATCGCATGGCCCTGGCGATGATATCCCAAGGGCGCCTAACTTCGCGCTTCGCGAGTGACTTCGCGCTTTCGCGCCGCCCCCCAGGGGAGACCAGGAGGTTGAGGAGGAATCGAATCCGAACCGCGAAGCGCGAAGAAGTTCGCGCCCTCGAGGGCGCCCTTGTATCTGCAATCCCCTGATCATCATCTCCCGTCGACGCCTGGTGGCTTCCAGGTCAAAAGTCGAGCCCCTGGCGGCCGGTCGGGACGATCTGGGCACCCCCAGAAAGATCTCGGCGAGGAGCAGCTGCTGGAGAGCGCCCTGGGCGTGGAAAACCTCCAAGACATTATAAGAACTGGCGAAACCTTCCGAAAGCTGGCCGCCCTCCCAGAGATCTGATGGATTGATGTCAAGGGGCCCTGGGACACACAAGTGAATACACACACGTCCCAGGATTCACCATCTGCTTCCATGTGTTATGGATTTTCGTCTCCCACCCCCCCCATTGTCCATATTTTCCCATCTGTTCTCGGGAATCGACGATTCAATATGTCTGTGTGTTTTTCCCCTCCTGGTGATGATAACATCGCGGGGCCCACGGAAATCTCGACCCCTTCCTGGGCTGAGCTGGGGACCGGCTTCTCGCCGCGGCCCGGCGAGGGCGCCAAGAGGCCGACGCCCGCAAACACTGGCCCCGTGGCCAAAATTCTGAAGAGAGTCCGCTGGTGGCGACCAGGCCATACCTAGAAAAAGATTATAGCCGGAGTGCAGTATCCCTAAACAAGGCTGTTTAACCCACTGCGGTTTCCAAGGTCGATCGCGTGCCCGTCCGGTGCGGGCTGGCATGGCATGTTAGAACATGAGAACATGATGTTTGCACATGAAAGGATTACACGGAAACTTGTGTGACGCGAAGCTAACGCTAGAGGGTGCCGTACTCTCTCGCTCTTGGTCGACGAGTAAGCTGTCGGGTCGGCACTGTCAGAAGCTTAGTTTTGGCGACATCTTGGAACTCAGTATTGGAAGGATGTCTCAAACGAAACGGGCTGGACAACCTCTCGCACACGTTCTGACAAGTCCACGTGACACTCGCTTCCCGTTAGGTCCTCTCTCCTGCAAACCCCTTCCTTCTCCCTCCTCCTCCTCCTCCTCCTAGTCTCAGGCGAAATGGTCTCGGAGCTCCGAGTTGATGGGGCCTCCTGGGGCCTCCTGGGGTCTCCTGGGGACCTCCTGGGGCTTCCTCCTGGGCCCCATGTACCTCCTGGACCCCACCTGGGGTTTCCTGAAGCCTCTAGGGGCTCCCAGGGGGGGATATCTAATATGTGGCCGTCTGGGCCCCCGAAAATGGGGGGGCCACAAGAGCAGGAAACATCAACGAATCGACACCGGATGTGTATTAACTTGACACGTTCTGATAAAGGGGCCTGGGAGCCTCCTGCGAATCTCCTGGGAGCCCCTGGGGCCTGTCCTGGGCGTCCTGCGGCCTCCTGAAATTCTCTGGGGCTTCCTGGGGCTCCCAAGGTCCCAGGGGGGATATGTAACATGAGGTCTTCTGGGCCCCCAGCTTGGACCACCTCTTGCGCGGCATCTGGAAGCTCAGAGTTGCAAAAGTGTCCTGTGCGAAACGGGCCGGACCACCTTGCGCACGGCAACTCAGAGCTCAGACTTGCGAGAATGTCTCAAGCGAAACGGGCCGGACCACCTCGCGCAGGGCATCTCAGAGCTCAGAGTTTCGAAGATGTCTCAAGCGAAACGGGCTGGACCACGTCGCGCGCGGCATCTCCGAGGACAGAATTGCGAGGATGTCTCACGCGAATTGGGCTGGACCACCTCTTGCGCGGCAGTTCAGAGCTCAAAATTTGGAGATGTCTGAAGCGAAGCGGGCCAGACCACCTCGCCCGCGGCATCTCAGAGCTCAGAATTTCGAGGACGTCTCAAACGAAATGGGCAGGAACACCTCTCGCGCGGCATCTCGGATTGCAAAAATACAAAAATGTCTCAAATGAAACGGGCCGGACCACTTCTTGGGCGGCATCTCGGGGCTCAGAGTTTGGAGGATGTCTCAAGCGAAACGCGAGATGGACCACCTCTCGCGCGGCATCAGAGAGCGCGAAATTGCGAGGATGTTTCAGGCGATACGGGCCGGACCACCTCGCGCACGGCATATCAGGATTCAGAGTTTGGAAGGTGTCTCAAGTGAAACGGGCTGGACCTCTTGCGCGGCATCTCGGAGCCCACAATTGCGAGGATGTCTCAAGCGAAATGGGCTGGACCACCTCTTGCGCGGCATCTAAGAACTCAGAGCTGCGAGGATGTCTCAGGCGAAACGCGCCGGACCATCTCGCGCACGGCATCTCAGAGCTCACACTTGCGAGGATGTCTCAGGCCATCCGGGCCGGACCACCTCTCGCGCGGCATCTGGGAGCGCAGAATTTGGAAAATGTCTCAGGCGGAACGGGCCGGACCACCTCTCGTGCGGCATCTGGTAGCTCAGAGTTTCGAGGATGTCTCACGCGAAATGGACCACCTCTTGCGCGGCATTTCAGAACCCAGTGTTTGGAAGATGTCTCATGCGAAACACCCAATCCCGGACAAGTCAGAAACGAGAATTGCGAAAATGTCTCAGGCGAAATGTCCCGGAGCACTAATTTTTTTGAAGACATCAGCACCCCGTTCAGCAAGCTGTTTGGGGGAAAAAACAATATGAACATGAATGCTTGGCTCTCCGCACGGATTTCTTGGATCCGCGCTGGACCCCCCTCCCTGGCGCGCGGAGCGCGCGAAGGGCGGCGCCGGAGGTGCCGCCAGGTGGGCCCAGGCGCGGACACGGGAAAACCGCGCGGAGGGCCAAACGTTGATGTTTATGTATTTTTCTTTTCGGCTACCACGAGCCCCGAAGAGGCGAACGCGAGGCAAGGGTGGCGGCATCGGCTGGGAGCACGCGCAAAGGGGGCAGGGAAAAGGGGGAAGGCTTCTGAGGAGGAGGCTGCGTCTCAGAAGGCGCCAGCCTCAGAATCTACAGAGAAGGCCTCCGCTTTAAAAAGCCCCCCCCTCGCCCTGCCCCGCTCTGTGCGCGGCTGATCTTGCCGAATCCCTATCCCTCCTCTGAGCAGGGCGCGCTGGGACAGCGCCCAACCAATTCCCGGACCACTCGCGGGGTCCGAACGCACCAGCTTCCCGAGCTGCGCCCAGCCGCTGCGACGAAGGCCTCTCAGGATGCCCGAACAGGCGGAAACGAAGGAAGGGCAAGGGTAGTGGTACCTTTTTCGTCCTCCGATCGCTGCTGGCACCGGTATGTTTCTTTCAAATCGAAAACCCACCTCGAAACCATCGCGCCGTCGCAGTACGTCGTTCTCGTGGTCGTCGTCGTCGCTCTCGTCGCAACCGCCGCCGAGCGGAGGCCTCTCGTCGCGGATCGATCAGATTTCCCCTTCGGCATCATTTAGCTGGTGAACAGCGGGGGCAGAGGCGACGTCCCCCTTGTTATGGACCCTACCTGCAGCGCGTCGGGAAGCAGGAGGTCGAGGAGACGCGAGGGACGTCGCGACTCCAACAGCGACCACACCCGACAGGCCTTGCTGCGAGGAGGCGGGGGGGGGGGGCGCAGTGCGCCGAGTGGCAGGAGCTGCCTCAGAAACAACATCAAAACCAGCCAAACATCGACCACCCACACAAGGCCCAACCACCCCAGGTGCAAGAAGCGCCACGACGGTGGCTGGGCCTCGCCACAGATGTGGGGTATGCGCACGGATGCCTGCGGGTTAGTCGCATCGCGCCGTGCGCCAGTGATTGGAAAGTCGAAGATCGACCCTCGCTCCAGACTTCGGGGGCGTCAAGAAGGGGAGGCGTTCAGGAGGGAGCTCGCAAACCATGAACGGCGGCATTTGCGCGGACCAAGGGGAAGCCAGGGGACGTCCTGAAAGAAAATGAGAAACAAGAAGAGGAAGTATATCAATGAGAATCTGCGTTAAAACAACACAAAATAATAATGATAAAGGAAGAAGAAGAAGAGGACTAATGAGAAGGGCCACCACATCTGGAGAGATATCATGGCTCCCGCCGTAGTGCACCCACCCCTATCCATCACCCCCCTCGTGGCCGCCCCCTACGACTGCCCCCTTCGCGCCCCAAGCGACGGAGAGCTCGCGGGACAACTCGCGGCCCAGCACGCGGCTGGCCGGTGAGAGCGCCGCGTCCCCGAGCCCCAGCTCGCTCTCCAGCGCGTCGATGCGCTCCTGCGCGCGCAGCTCGGAGCTCACCGAAGAGCCACGAGCACTGACCCCCTCGCGTCGAGGAGACATTTTTTTTAGTCGGCGGCGCTGGCGGTCGCAGGTCGCAGGCGCGGGGGCGCACGCGGCGCGGGGCCCGCGGAGCGGGTGGGGCAGCACAGAACGGCCGTGGAGGAAGGGGGAAGATGAGCATCGTTTGACCGGTCCCTATCCCCACTGGCGTGGCCGGGGTCCCACTGGCCGACTTGCCCCCCTTGATCCTGGGTGGGGATGTAGGCTGTTTCTTTCGGGTTTCGAGGGGTACAACCCCAACTGGCGTGATGGGATGGTGGGGATCAAGATGGGGATGTGTTGCGCAGGGACAGACCGTCCCGGCATTCCTATAGGCCTACCACGAAATGTTTTTAGAACCCGCAGATGATCGCAGAAAAAAACAGGTTCTCATAACAGAAGCCCGATGTGTTAAAACAAGACAGCCCGAGCAAGACATGTTCTAAGAACATCTCTTGGAAAACACGAAAAAAGTTATTAGACAATTGTTTGACAGGCCTCTAGGCACGCCAGGACATTTCGCCACTGCTTGCATGTGGGGATGCGGGATCGGTGAACTGATACGTACTGAGCAGGGGGCCGTACCGCGGAGAATCCGGAGGGAGAGCGGCGCGCAAGCGGCCTGAAGCACCGCGAACATCGCGAAAACAACAGGGCGGGAGGTAGCTTGGCCTCTCGGGGGGACCTCGCCCGGCATGGGGCCCCATGAAAAACCCAGGCCGGCCCAAGATGGCCCTCAAGACGCCGAAGGTGGCCGCCAAGACGGCCAAGATGGCCTCCGAGATGCCGCCAACATGGCCAGTAAGGCCTCCAAGACAGCGAAGATGGCCCCAGGATGCACCCAAGACGTCCCCAAATTGCCTGAAGACGGCCTTAGACTGCCCAACAGGCCCGCAAGAGGCCTCCAAGACGGCCCAAGACCCCTCCCAAACGTCCTGTCCTCCAAGAAGGCCCGAAAGCTCGGAAACCACCTGGTCCGATAGCTCGCCCGACTCCGTGTTCCCCGAAGACTTTCGAAACGCTGGTCACAAGAAGGGCGAGACTGCCTGGGCCAGCGCGTTGAGATTATCGAGACACCGGATCTCCGCATTCCTCAAGCTGAGGCTGTCAGACTCACAACAAAAAGCTGCCGGACCCGCCCCTCGCACACCCAGCATGCCGCGGCCGCCAGGCACAAAGGACCCATCGCATCGACGATCTCTCGAGAGGGGTGTCGAAATCGATGGGTCCCCCAGGGGGTTAAGGACCACAGCTCCCCCAGTTGTGGTTGGCCTGCCAGTGCTACCCGGGTGTCCCTCCTCGCATCTTCCATCAATGACGACGGCATGCCGCGGCCGCCAGGGCCCCAAGGGACCCGTTGCTCCCTTATTCGGCCTCGCGTTCTCGGGACGGGAATCGCCAGAAGCCAATGAGTTTCATGTTCGGCGTCCAGGGTGGGGGGGTCCCCAGCACGCGGGGTACACGTCGGTCGGAAGAAGTAGTTAGAAGCATGAAGTAGGAAGGAGGATATAGTAGATTGGGTCCAGGATCTCCCAGAGAATAACAGAACACAACAAAAGCATGCCAATTTTTGAAGTAGGAAGGCGCTTGAAGTAGATTGGGATCTGGGAATCCAAAAATACATACTTTCAACGACTGGCGTGTGATCCTAAAGATGGCCAGGGACAATAAGCCGCCCCCAAAAGAGTCAATCAGAGCTTCCTGCGGGGCCCTCCATGGTGAGAAAAAATATGTCGAAGGCCTGGGGCATTGACCCAGGACCCTCTCGAGTCTAGACAACTTCCCCTGGAGCAGCGTTTCGTCCTGAATAGTTGTTCGACGGTCCTGGGGCCTGCGAAACGTCTCCGAACTCTGAAAATGGCAAAGCACTCTCTGTCGTTTTTTGTCACGACGCGAGCTTCCCCGGGACCTGCCCTTCATCCTAAGTCGTTTTTTTTGACGGCCCCAAGGCCCGCTCAACGCCCACGACACCCGAACATAACATAACACTTTCCGTCATGATGTTGTCTCTCGGCGGCGAGCCCGGGGGGAAATGAGAAGGAGAAGGCCTTCTCGGAAAGCTCAGAAGTTCCCAGGCCTATGAGAAGTTTTCCGAGCCTTCCCCGAAGGTGCAGAGCACTTCTAAGAAGGCGCGAGGGCTTCTGAGACGTCCCGCCGTCCTCTGGGAAGGCCTTCTCCTTCTCATTTCCCCCCCTCGCTCGCTGCCAAGTCGGCTAGACGCAAGAGTGACACTCTCGCCATCGCTCGGACGTCCATTCCCCGTGCTTTTGTTCGGTTTCGTGCGTGCTTTTTTCGCCAAGTGATCAAGGATGCTCCTCGATGGTCCTCGCCGAAGGAAAAACGCACACGTCCGAGCGATGCCAGGCACTGGGTAAGATCGGCACCTGGTGCGCGGCTCTCGGGGGGCGCGAGGGGGCCAAATCCCAGCGCGCAGGTCGCTGCTGCCGCATCGCGCTCCGCGATCGATGGGGGCCCCGATGAGCTCGCAGCAAAGGTCACCCCGGCGAGGAGCCGCTCTTACTTGTAGCGTCGGGGTGGATTGGAGAGGACACGCGAGAGGGCACGAGACCCTTCCGACGGTCACACTGCCAGTGGAACATGAAGGGCACTGGTCGCGAAACACAGGGCACCAGCGTACCCTTGTTTGGGCAGGGTCGGCCAACTCGACTGTACATGCAGGGACTGACCGCAACGATGTTTAAAACGAAATGCCGATCACAACGAACAAAGAAACGAGGCCCAACGTTCAAGAAGAACGTGTAAAAAGAAGCCGGTGCCAAACGAAGACGAACTGCGAAACGTGGCGTTTAAAACAGCAACGAAAAACGGAACGAGACACAACAGGGGCCCAAACCAAGCTAAACAGCGTTGTGGTCGGTCCTTGAGTACATGAAGGGGCCCAGGGACACACACACACACAAATAAATAGGCATACATAATAGGATTCCCCAGATTTTCCATATTTTTCCCAACCATCCTGTGGTGTTGGGTCCTCGTTTTGAAGAGACGGTGCCCCGCGTTCCCCTACTCCTCTCCTCTCCTCCTCTTCCCCCTCCTCCCTCCTCCCATCAGCATCATCATCGTCATCATCATCATCATCATCATCATCATCATCATCATCATCATCATCATCATCATCATCATCATCATCATCATCATCATCATCATCATCATCATCATCATCATCATCATCATCATCATCATCATCATCATCGTCATCACCCACCATCATCGTCATCATCACCATCATCGTCACACCTCTCACACGTTTCGTGGCCCCGCTGGCCCCAGCAGGGCACACCCCTCACACGTTTCGTGGCCCCATAGGGAGCTCCACCGAAGGCCCCAGTGCTGCCGCCCGCATGCGTCAGCCACACCCAATTCGGCACACCCCTCACACGTTTCGTGGCCCCATAGGGAGCTCCACCGAAGGCCCCAGTGCTGCCGCCCGCATGCGTCAGCCACACCCAGTTCGGCACACCCCTCACACGTTTCGTGGCCCCATAGGGAGCTCCACCGAAGGCCCCAGTGCTGCCGCCCGCATGCGTCAGCCACACCCAGTTCGGCACACCCCTCACACGTTTCGTGGCCCCATAGGGAGCTCCACCGAAGGCCCCAGTGCCGCCGCCCGCATGCGTCAGCCACACCCAATTCGGCACACCCCTCACACGTTTCGTGGCCCCATAGGGAGCTCCACCGAAGGCCCCAGTGCCGCCGCCCGCATGCGCCAGCCACACCCAATTCGGCACAACCCTCACACGTTTCGTGGCCCCATAGGGAGCTCCACCGAAGGCCCCAGTGCCGCCGCCCGCATGCGTCAGCCACACCCAATTCGGCACACCCCTCACACGTTTCGTGGCCCCATAGGGAGCTCCACCGAAGGCCCCAGTGCTGCCGCCCGCATGCGTCAGCCACACCCAATTCGGCACACCCCTCACACGTTTCGTGGCCCCATAGGGAGCTCCACCGAAGGCCCCAGTGCTGCCGCCCGCATGCGTCAGCCACACCCAATTCGGCACACCCCTCACACGCTTTCGTGGCCCCATAGGGAGCTCCACCGAAGGCCGCAGTGCCGCCGCCCGCATGCGTCAGCCACATCCAATTCGGCACACCCCTCACACGCTTCGTGGCCCCAGCCCGCATGCGTCAGCCACACCCATTTCGGCACACCCCTCACACGTTTCGTGGCCCCATAGGGAGCTCCACCGAAGGCCCCAGTGCCACCGCTCGCATGCGTCCCGCACACCCATTTCGGCACCTCCACCAAACACAGCGTTTCGTGGCCCCACAGGGACCTCCACCGAAGGCCCCAGTGGTGCCGCCCGCATGCGTCACCCCCACCCCAGCACAGCATTTCGTGGCCCCACAGGGAGCTCCACCGAAGGCCCCAGTGGTGCCGCCCGCATGCGCCACCCCCACCCAGCACAGCGTTTCGTGGCCCCACAGGGAGCTCCACCGACGGCCCCAGTGGTGCCGCCCGCATGCGTCACCCCCGCCCAGTACAGCGTTTCGTGGCCCCACAGGGACCTCCACCGAAGGTCCCAGTGGTGCCGCCCGCATGCGTCACCCCACCCCAGCACAGCGTTTCGTGGCCCCACAGGGAGCTCCACCGAAAGCGGCACCCGCAATGCGATATTCACAACTGCACATGGTTGGGTCCTTCGCCAGGATGATTTGGGTTTTCCTCTTCCCCCCACTTCCCATAGTTTCCCATATTTTCCTGGGAGTCGACGATGGATTGTCTGTGTTTTTCCCCTCCTGTGTAGGATCACTGCGCAAGGATGCCAAGGGGCGGGGCCGGGCCGTGGCGGGGGCGTCGCTCTCGGGGAGGGCCCCGCCCGATGGCAACACTGCCGCTGGAACATTCGAGGCCTCCTAGATGGGGTCGGAGGAGATGGGGTCGGAGGATCGCACAGCATCGCCGATACATCGGCGATGCATCCGCCGTGCACTGGCGACGTCGGCGATGCATCCGCGACGTCGGCGTGGGAAAACACAGGCTCCACATCAAGCCGCATCATCGATGCATCCGCGATGCGGCGCAATCCTCCGACCCCATCTACTCCGACCCCATCCGGGAGGCCTAGCAAAATAGAGGGCATGGGTCGCGAAGCACAGGACACAAGGGTACCCTTGTTCGGGCAGGGTCGACATGCTGATCAAACTCGAATGTACGCGTAGTGGACCGAAATCCCGGGGGCGGCAAAGAGGGGGTGTCCAAGAGGGGGGGGGTGCAAATCATGGCCGGCGGCATGTGCGCGGCCCAGGGGGGGGGGGGGGAGGGACGTGATGACATAAGAAGAGGCGCCATGATATCCCCCCCCTAGTCATCACCCCCCTCTTTGCCGCCCCCGAGAATCACTGCGCAAAGGTGCCAAGGGACGGGGCCGGGTCGTGGCGGGGGCGTCGCTCTCGGGGAGGGCCCCGCCGGGCCTCTGAAGGCCAGCGGGGGCCTTCCAGCGCGTGGGGCACGCCTGGCCGACTGCCTACAAGAGCACCCTATAACCAAACCTTAGGTCGGGCGTGTCCTCCTACAGGCGAACTATGGGCGAAAAATACAAGTAGCCGACCAAGCTCATACATAATCAAAAGTCGTAGTAAAAAAATCGTCCCCCGACTATTGTTTTACTATTCTTGAACATTCCTCCTGTAGAGAGACAGGCACGACTCACGCCTGACCAGAAGACCCAAACTTCGGATTGGGGAGGGGTACGGGCTCCCGGTGTGTTTTCTTGCAGTGTTCTCCGACGCCCTCCCCGCTGAGGATGGCGGGCACGCTCGGGCCGTCGGGCTGGGTTGGGGTGGCTGCTTGGCGGGTGGCGACTGGCGCGCTTCGGTGGGGCCGCGAAGCGGCATCTCAGATCTCCGACGGTGGGATTCTTCCCGCCCGGCTGCGTCTCCAGATCTCCGCCCTCGCTGGCCGCTCGTGGGCACTTGGACCACCACAGGTCGACAGCCTCTACTCCTGGGGAATGGGTCGGGACCCCCGGGGCCGCGGGACCGAACCATTGTACCTGCGCTTGTCAGGGACCTCGCTCTCTGCGAGAGACCCGCAGGGCCTCGGGCCCCTTCCGCAGGGAAACTCCCGGCGCGGCGGGGGGGATTCCTAGAAAGAGAGAGAGAGAGAGAGCGGAGTCGACTAAGGGTCGAGAGCCCACCACCTCCTTCAGGGCCCTTGGAAGCTACGTGGCCCACCCCAGCCCAGATGGCAGCCATTAACAGCCTGAAACATATGCCTGTTCCTTCGAATCGACATCGCCGCATCTCGGTGCTGGACTCAGGAATTCCATCCGTTTCTGATGGAACGTCCCTAAGACTGGCACCGCCGTGGACGCGTCAACCTTAGGGATGAGGATAAGCTCAAGGCTGCTTAAGCCAAACCCGACATCTGTTCATTCAGCCTGCGGTGGGAACCGTGCGTCCGTCCCATGGGGCTTCGAAAAAGCGGCGCAAAACAATGTATAGTGTGGTGGACATAAGCAGGCGATAGCATGGTGGACACATTCCTGGCCAACATGCGGACTCAGCCGACAAATAAGTCGGCCAAGGATGCTAGACTGAGCATCTGCTGCAAACGATATCAATCAACATGGGGAAAACAAAAAACGTCGGGGATCTTCTGACCCGGGTCAATCCAGGCCCCTGTTAGCAGGAAGCCGAAAAACTGCAATGCAGGACAAAAAACTGCAACGCAGGTCTTCGCAAACAGGGGTCAACCAATATGCGCGGCCGCCTCGCGGCCACGAGCGGCTCGCTAACCTGGGTCAGCTAGAGAGGGTCTTCGCAGGATCCTGCAGGATCTGGTGCCCTGGCTGACCCCTGTTTGCATTGACCCCCGTCTCTTGAGCCCCGAAAACGGGTCCCGAGGGAAACGGGTCCTGGACCCCGGGGCCCTCCCCCAGGACGAGTGCTTCATCCTGGATCGCTATCTGGCAACTCTGGGTCCCGTGGATGGCCCCGAGACCCGAAAACGGCAAAAAACCTCAGGACCCACCTCCCTCATGACTACCTACCAGACCACCCCAACCCAACCCGAGGACCCGAATTTCGGGTCGGGCCGGGGGGGGTACGGGTTTCACGCGTGTTTTCTCTCATGTTCCCCGATCCTCCCCCCACTGGAAATGGAGGGCAAATCGGGGCCTTCGAGTTGGGTTGGGGGTGGTTTGGTAAGCGGTGACCTCAGGACCTCGGGGGGGGAGGAGATCGCAGGCGATCCTCCCCCCTCCTCCTCCTCCTCCTCCTCCTCCTCCTCCTCCTCCTCCTCCTCCTCCTCCCCCTTCCCCCCTGGCGATGTCCACCCGAGCCCTCCACCGTGGAGGCTTCCCGTCGGTCGGTTGCTGTGCCTCGGAACGCCCCAAGGCCGAGGCGTCCGCCAAGGCAGGGCCAAAGATCGGGGGCGACGATGAGGGGCGCATCGCCTAGGGCTGAGCAAGGACCGACCGTCCCGGCATTCCTATAGGCCTACCCTTAGTGGGCCCTGGACAGGGCCGTTTTTTCACCGGTTCCGTTTCGCCGCTTTTGTTACTGGTTCCGACGCCGTTGTTATACCGGTTCCGTCTCCGTTTTTTGACCGGTTCCGGCTCCGGTTCCAATCCTGGAGCCGTTTTTGTTGCCGTTTCCGGTCGCCGTTTTTTTGCCGTTTCCATTTTCAAGGGACACTTTTTGGGAAACGGTGACAAAAACGGCCCTGCCGTTTCCGGGGCCCACAAAGGGCCTACCACGATTTATTCTTAGATCCCAACAATGTTCTAAGAGCAAAAGCAGTGTTCTTAGAACCTAAGCCCAGCGTGATAAAACAAAACAGTCCCAGCCAGAAGTGTTCTAAGATTATTATGTGGAAGCCGCAAAGGGTTCTTAGAAGATTGTTTGGTAGGCCTCTAGGCACGCCAGGACGCTTCGCCACTGCCTGACAGTATCCACTGGCGCCGATGGTCCATGCCTTCGGCGAGGTCCCTGGGCGAAAACTTGTGATGCCCGCCCCTGGGCTTATCGCCACTATCGTCGCCTTCGATGAAGCCTCCTCCTCCTCCTCCTCCTCCTCCTCCTCCTCCCCAGAGATCCGATGTCCTGACCTTTGCGATGCAGCGAATCCGGGAGCCTCAACCCCTTGCCTGGGACTGGCCCTTCATCCCGAGGCGCTTTCTGGCTGTCCCGGGCCCCGCGAGGTCCCCCAGGGGCAGAACAGGGCGGAAAAGCTCCGTCTCGACGTGAGCGATAGTCACAAACGCGTCTTACGCGAGATGGCAAAGCGACCTCAAGCGGTGGCTTACGCGGGCTGCAGACCCTGCACGCTACGCTTGAAGCGAAGGCGCTTACGCGCGATCTCACGAAAGAAGCTTGCGCGACAATGTCGGCGCAGACGTCGGAGGTCATGCGACTGAAGGTCATCCTTTTCTGCGTCGCTCATGCGACTCAACACGTTGGAGGTCAGGGATCGACCTAAACAATGTTGTTTGTCGTTTTCGTTCTGTCTTCGTTTTCCCTCGCTTTGTCTTCCACCCGCCTTTGCTGCAAAAAACTGCATCGAAACGGAAACGGCCCACGAGACTGCCTGAAAGATCGTTCGGGCCGACCCCTGTTGGAGGCCTGGATCCTGCTGGCACTCCACCAGCTCCCGCAGCGCCAGCTTCTCCTCCACGAGGGTCGCCGTCTCCTCCGCGGGCGTCCGCTGGGCGCGGCCCTGGGCGTGCCGCAGGGCCGCGCGGACGCCCGCCTCGACCGCGGCGCAGAGCTGCCCTCGGTGGGCCGCGAGCGCCTGGTCCTGCGGAGTCGCGGCGCGGCCTCTCGCTGTCTTGATGGGCCTGTTTTCCACCACCACCGCCATAAGTTGGAGGGGGGAAGGGGGTGGAGGATGAGAAAGAGGAGGACGAAGAGGAGAAGGAGGAGAAGGAGGTGGACCCTCCCCCCCCCTTCTACGTATGGTGGTGCCGGGGGAAAACAAGCCCACCATGTCTCGATTGCTGTTGCGGGCAAACTTCGTACAGTTGGGCCCAGGCCAGCAGAGCATCCTTCAAGAACACGAGACCCTCTTGCGGCCAGAAATGATGCACAAAAACATCCAATAGACACGAAGAACGTCATGGTACCCTCCCCGAAACGGCCTCGATCTTACACCTCGGTCCGACTGTGACAACGTCCACTGCATCCTGGACGGGGCCAATAGGCCAGGGGCGCAGCGGATGAGGGCAAAAGTCTGGCCCCGGGGGGGGGGGGGAGATTTTGCTCTATATCCACTGCGCCTCTGGTTTCTGGGGAAGGAGCCCGAAACTCCAAGACGGAGTCGATATGGATGTACATCTAGCCCACAGCTTTTGTCAGAGACAACAAAAAAACGACAACCAAAGAAAGACGGAGGAGGTGCAGTGCGCGACCACAAGATCTCGATTTAACCAAGGCACCGCCTCATGGCGAGTCGCAGGATCGCGAAGCAAACCAGGGATGTCAAACGAGCGGACCTGAGACGGGGCAAGCTCACGCAGTGAACCGTGGTGTGATGTAGAACGCGGGCAGAGCCCACATCCAATCCAACATTGCCCGACTCCCCTCCTTCGGGTGCACCGAAAAGGGGTTCCAGGAAGAAAGGGGGTACCGCAGCAAGGCATGAGGCATTATCGCCAAATCCCCCCAATGCAAACACATCGCCGAAGCATCGGCGATGCCGAATGGTAAAACATCGTCCTCCAGATCGCGCCGCATCGCCGATGCATCGGCGATGCGGTGCGATATGGGGAGCTCATCGCCTTCAGCCCCCCACTTACTTGGAACACCGCGGGGGGGCTAAGAAGACAGAGGGCACATGAGTGTAAGCTGAAGTGGGTTATCACTGGCCTGCCATATCATATACGAGCGTTGGACATGCCACATATTGGTATGTATGTTTTTAACCGATAATTCCTCCCCGTAAACCGCTTTGGCCACTTGCAGCCCACTCCAAACTTAGGCTAGGCACATAGAGCCTACCTCAGCACCCCCTCATGAATTCTATCCCTTCTATCTCCTTAGCAACCCCCGTGCTGATCCAAAGAGGAGGCCTGGACACTCGGCTTGCAAACCTCGGGTCCCTCTCCGTCGCCGCCGCGTGCTCCGAGCGTGCCGCCGCCTGCGGCTGCGCTGGGGGTTCCGAACACGACGGGGTCGCCGCCGCCTCCGCGAGCCCCACGGGCACCGCCGCGCCCGCCGCCGAGGGCGGCGGCCCCACGGACGGCGCCGCGACGGCGCGCTCCGAGGGCCCCGCGGGCGCCGCCGCCGCCGCCGCCGCCCGCTCCGCGGGCTCCGCGGTGCCGCCGCGCCGAGCGATGCTGGCGGCGACTCCGAGCACGGAGGCGCCGCGTCGGCGTGCTCCGAGGGCGCCGCCGCCTCCGGCGGTGGCGCGGGCAGGGCGTGCGCCGGGGGCTCCGCGGGCGCCGCGGGGGGGCCGCGGGCCTCCAGGGCGCCTGCTGCGCGCGGAGGGGGCCGCGCGCGGGCCGGCGGGGCGCGCGGCCTCGGCCGCAGAAGACATGCGACATCGGAACTAACAACAAAATAAAACCGCGGGAAAAGAAAGGCAAGATACCTCCAGGAAGCCCCAAGAGGCCCCCACGAGGCTTCCAAGCGGCCCCTAAGAGCTTCCCAAGAGGCCCACAAACTACCCCCAAGAGGCCTCCAAGAGCGCTCGTCGTCGTCGTCGTCGTCGTCGCCATTCAGGGTCGGCGGCACCGGCCGTAAGGCCTTCGCAACAAGTGGCACGTGTGCCATAGCCCTTGCACAAAAAAGGAAGGGGGAGGAGGAGGAGGAGGAGGAGGAGGAGGAGGAGGAGGAGGAGGAGGAGGAGGAGGAGGAGGAGGAGGAGGTGGAGGAGGAGGGGGGAAGAGGGGGCAAGGCATCGCCCTCTGGGCCCAGCAACGGGGCCCAAGTCCCAGGTGGGGAGGGTGGGGGAGGCGGCGTGCGTCGCGACGCGGAATAAAGTGCTCGGAGCGGAGGGAGCACGGGGCGGAGGTCCCGCTGGGGCGCTGGGGGCGCGGAGAGGAGGGGGGGTGGTGTGTGCCGCGACGCGGAATAAACTGTCGGGGCGGAGGGGGCACTGGGCGGGGCTTGGGGTAGACGGCCACGGGGCGGGGGTCCAACTGGGGCGCTGGGGCAAGGGGGGGAAGGTGGGAGGTGGCGTGCGTCGCGACGCGGAATAAAATTGTCGGGGCGGAGGGGGCACGGGGCGGAGCCCCCACTGGGGCGCTGGGGACGCGGGGCGGGAGGTAGGGGAGGTGGTGTGCGGCGCGACGCGGGATGAAGCGTTAGTGGCGGAAGGGGCAGTGGGCGTGGCCCCCGCTGGGGCGCTGGGGACGCGAGGGGGCTCGGGGCGGAGAACCACGGCGCGGGGGTCCCACTCTGGCGCTGGGGGCGCGGGGGGGGGGGTGCGACGCGTAATGCAGCGTTCGTGTCGGAGGGGGCAGTGGGCGGGGGCCCCGCTGGGGCGCTGGGGGCGCGGTGGGGCTTGGGGCAAACAGCCACGGCGCGGGGGCCCCACGCTGGCGCTGGGGACGCGGGGGCGGGGGGGGGAGGTGCGACGCGGGATAAAGCGTTCGTGGCGGAGGGGGCAGTGGGCGTGGCCCCCGCTGGGGCGCTGGGGACGCGGCGGGCTCGGGGCGGAAAGCCACGGCGCGGGGGCCTCACACTGGCGCTGGGGGCGCGGGGGGGCGGGGGGGGGCGACGCGGGATAAAGCGTTCGTGGCGGAGGGGGCAGTGGGCGGGGCCCCCGCTGGGGCGCTGGGGACGCGGGGGGGGCTTGGGGCAGAGAGCCACGGCGCGGGGGCCCCACTCTGGCGCTGAGGACAAATGTCGGGGCGGAGGGGGCGGTGCGCTGGGCTGGGGGCTGCTGGGGGGAAGGGGAGGGGGAAGGGCGACGACGACGCCGAAATAAAATGGTCGGGGCTGCGAAGGGGCGGCGCGCTGGGCTGCTCGGGAGGGGGGTGGGGGGTGGGGGCCGTGGGGGGGGGGGGCGACGACGACGCCGAAATAAAGTGGTCGGGGCGGAGAGGGCGGCGCGCTGGGCTGCTGGGGAAAAGGACAGGGGGGGGGGGCGACGACGACGCCGAAATAAAATGGTCGGGGCGGAGGGGGCAGCGCGCTGGGCTGCTGAGGAGAGGGAGAGGGGGGGGGGGGGCGACGACGACGCCGAAATAAAGTCGTCGGGGCGGAGGGGGCGGTGCGCTGGGGTGCTGGGGAGCGACACGTAGCGACGCATGTCGACACAACGCCGAAATAGGGCGACGACGACGCCGAAATAAAGTCGTCGGGGCGGAGAGGGCGGTGCGCTGGGCTGCTGGGAAAGCGACGCATGTCGACACAACGCCGAAATAGGGCGACGACGACGCCGAAATAAAGCGGTCGGGGCGGAGAGGGCGGCGCGCTGGGCTGCTGGGGAAAAGGACCGGGGGGGGGCGACGACGACGCCGAAATAAAATGGTCGGGGCGGAGGGGGCAGCGCGCTGGGCTGCTGAGGAGAGGGAGAGGGGGGGTGGGGGCGACGACGACGCCGAAATAAAGTCGTCGGGGCGGAGGGGGCGGTGCGCTGGGGTGCTGGGGAGCGACACATAGCGACGCATGTCGACACAACGCCGAAATAAAGTGGTCGGGGCGGAGGGGGCAGCGCGCTGGGCTGCTGAGGAGAGGGAGAGGGGGGGGGGCGACGACGACGCCGAAATAAAGTCGTCGGGGCGGAGGGGGCGGTGCGCTGGGGTGCTGGGGAGCGACACATAGCGACACATGTCGACACAACGCCGAAATAAAGTGGTCGGGGCGGAGGGGGCAGCGCGCTGGGCTGCTGAGGAGAGGGAGAGGGGGGGGGGGGGCGACGACGACGCCGAAATAAAGTCGCCGGGGCGGAGGGGGCGGTGCGCTGGGGTGCTGGGGAGCGACACATAGCGACACATGTCGACACATATCGACATACAGAGACATATATCGACACACACACACATCGACGCATAGCGACTCACAGCGACACATAGCGACGCACACATGGAGACGCATAGCGACACACAGCGACACATATAGCGGCACATGAAGGGCACAAATCGAGCCGCGCGCGCAGGGCCTCGACCCCGCCTGCTGCCGCCGTCGGCGGGAGCGGCGCGGCGCGAGGCTGCCCCCCGCGGGCGGCTGCGACGGGCCCAGGCCCGACGCACCGCCGCTTGGGCGGCCTCGCGCCACGCCTGCGTGCAGCAGACAGGGCGGAGGGTGGGAGAAAGAACGCGCGCCAGGGAGGCACCCGCGCGCGCGCGCGCGGGGCGCGCGCGCGGCGCCTCCTCCAAATGCAAATCGCCTGCGAAGCGCACGCGCCGCGGGGGCAGCGACCCCCCCCCGCGGCGACGCAACCCCGGCGCTAGCAAATCACCTGCGAAGCGCACGCGCCGCGGGGCAGCGACCCCCCCCCCGCGACGCGCAACCCTGGCGCGCGACGGCGCGATGGCCCGCGCCTGCGCAGCGAGGCCGCGGTCGCGTCGCACTGCCGCGCGCGCGACCTACGCGCAACCGTGGCCGATTTGTGCCCGCCCACAACGGTGAACGTCCGCGTCTGCGAGCGGACTTGCCGCCGTGGGCCTACCACAAATCGAGCCGCGCGTGCAGGGCCTCGACCCCGCCTGCTGCCGCCGTCGGTGGGAGCGGCGCGGCGCGAGGCTGCCCCCCGCGGGCGGCTGCGACGGGCCCAGGCCCGACGCACCGCCGCTTGGGCGGCCTCGCGCCACGCCTGCGTGCAGACCCAATGCCACACGGCACGCAGGCGACACGGGCCGGCAACGCGCGCCCACCCGCTGCCGAACGCGCGGGGGCAGAGCACGGGCGCCGTCGCGCGCACCCGCCCACGCACAGAAGCGAAACGTGGCGGCGCTGGCCGCCGGCGCCTAGCAGGCACCCTCGTCCGAATCCGACTCCAGCATGTACGCCTGGCGCGAGCAGCGCGCCGCGGCGCGGGCGGAGGGCGCGTGGCCCCGCCTCCACGACCGCGTCCCTTTCCAGATCGTCACGGTCGAGATACGCCATGAAAGCGCAGGACCGCCACTCCCCGGCCGCGAGAATCTCGGCCAGCGTCGCGCCAGCCTCCTGCAGGTCCTTGGCGTGGCCCCTGCGGAGGTCATGCAACCGAAACAGGCTCGCCCCCTGGACACCGAGGGCAGCGGGCATCTCGCGCAGGGTCCGCAGCGCAGCAGCCGCCGAGATGCCTCCGAAGAGCCCGCGGCCCAGCCCGCAACGCGCCACCCAGGGGCCCAGGGTGTGCACGGGGCACGTGGCGCGGCACGATGAGCACCAGCACTTCCGCGACAGGCGACTGCCCTGCGGCCGGTTCTTCCGCCGCCGCAGCAGCAGCGTGAGCTCCGATTTGCCCAGCACTAGCGCCGCTTGAAAGGGCGGCGCGTCGCCGGCGTCGGCCACGCGCACGGCCGGCAACGCCTCGCTGGGAACACGCAACAAGAACGTGTAGGCGAAAAGGAAAAGCATCGACGCGCGGAGCCACTCGGGGCGGCGCGCGCCCAACTCGACCAGCGCGGCGACCGCGCTCTTACGGATGAACAAGCGCGGGCGCGGAGTCCAATCGGCCCGCGCCCGGACGGCGGCGCGCGCACGCCTGACCTCGGGGCGGTCGAACACGGCGACGCAGACCCCAGTCAGGAGGCAGCCGATCTTAACGTAGCTGCAGTAATTTGCGTACGTCTCCCCGCAGCGAAAGAAGGCGCTCCAGGCGACCAGGTCCGCGCAGGCTGGCGGGAGCTGCGTGCACGGGCATTTCAACATTCTGATGCAGTAGGCCTCCCAGCATTTGAGGCCGCTTCTCACGCTTGGGAGCGACCGTGCGCATGGTTGCAGCATAGCGCGGACGCGTTCCTCCTCCCGCCAGCGGGCCGCGTCCGCCGGACTGCGGAGGCGAGCAGCGGCCTCGGCGAGCGCCGCCCGGGGCCCGCGCGTTATTGGCAGCGCGACCGGCGCGCCCAGCTGGTCGAGGACGCTCGGGACGGGCGCCTCGCGAGCCACGGCGCGCGGGCATGCGCAAGCGCGCGGGGCCGATGACGCGCGCCTGTGGCGGCCCAGGGGGCGACCCCGGGGCGCTCGGCGCCGCGCGTCTCGCCGGCGACCGGCTGCGGGCGGGCGCGCGCCCTCCAACTGCCGAGCCCACGGCGACGGGCGCGCCTGCGAGGCGCACGCGCGGCGGGGGGGGGGGGCCGCGCGCGCCAAAAACCCTCGCGCAGCCGAGCCTCGGCGCGCAGCAATCTTCGCGGCTCTGAATAATTCGTGCAGGACTTCGACATTGGCCTGCGCGGTGACCGGCCAACCTTCCAGGTCTGCGGCGTCTGCACTGGCGAGCTCGCAGGCTCGTGCGAAGCCGTTCTCAGCCAGGAAATCAGCAGCCCAGGCGACGGCCGTCCTGGGCGCTGTCGGGCGCAAGGAACACAATTCAAGGAATAACGACATGATGCCGCGCGGCACGCCTGACAATGCGAGCGACGCGCCTGGGGCACTGGCCGCGCGCACTCCGCTTGCGACAAAACGCGGGACCCTAGGATGACAAGCGCGGCGGCGCGCCGAACGCTTTGCCGCGCCCAAACTTAAGCATCGCGACGCCCCGACGCACAAGATGGCACCCGGGCGCGACATGGCGCGCGGTTTAGCCGAAGAGGCGGGCCACAGAGAGAGCGCCCCAGGCATCCGCGTGCCAGAATTCTTCGTCGAGCCACGGGCGCGTGCGCACCGCGCCGATGCGTAGCAGGAGTTCGTCGCCCCCCCTGCGACACGCTGCGCCCGCGGCCAGCCCGCAGCACCGCGCGGCGCGCACGGGCGCGCCGAGAAGGCAAATCGGCCAGATTCTCAGCCGTGGGCACGCGGAAAACCGCGAGGTCAACGTCGAGCTCCACCGCGCGCCTCCACATGGAGTGGACGATGCACGAGTGGTCGAAGGATTTCGCGGCGCCCTTCCGCAGGCAAGACTCCGCGCCGGTATTGTCGCTGTAAATATGCAAGTCGCAACCTTGCACTTCCCCTGAGCGCAGCGAAGACGAGGGGCCGGACCTGCCCGCCGGCGCGGGCAGTCGCACGCGAAAGCAATGCCTGCAAAGGTGCACATGCCCAGCGCGATAGACAGGAGCTCCAGCCCCTGAATCTGGTTGTCCCGGCGACGCTGGAACGACGCCATCAAGGAATCCGGGACGACCATGGAAGTGAAACGGATGCCCGTGGCGGTGACGAGCACCGCGGCCACGCACGGTGGTTGGCCCGACGCGTCCGCGAAGAGAGTTGCGCGAGGCCGCGCCTTGTCGGCCCACGGCCGCGCTTGGCACAAGTCCATGGCCAAGACCTCGCGCCACCACTGCAGGGCAAGCATCAACGGCTCATGGGCCTTCGATGCCCCGCGATGCGATTGCGCGTACAACGGCCTGCGAGCACGAAGCGCGGCGCCCCGCCCCCCCGGGCGCGCGGGGGCAGCGCCGCGCCTGAGGAGGGCGCGCCCCAGGCGGCGGAAGAGATGCGACGCTGCCCAGGCCAAGCCCCCGGCCAGCTTGGACGATGCGCCTGCACAGCGAACGCAAGGTCCCGACACATTAGGGGGGACGCGCGAGCCGCCTGGCGCGAGGGCGCGCGTCGCGAGCGCCTCGCCGATGACACGCTGCCACTTGGCGGTCTTCGCGGGTGCGGGACGCGCGCAGAACGCGCGTGGCAGCACCTGGCGATGCGCGCAGCCGGCCGGCCGGCGCGTCGCGCCAAGGCCGCCCCGCCTTGATTTCGAGGCCGAGGATGACCAGCGGGGACCCCCAGGCGATCTTGTCCGGCGCCACCGCGCCTGGGCCGAGCATCAGCTGAATTAGCTCCGCCAGCTGCGCTGCTGCGTGCTCCACCACTTCGGGGTGATCCGGCCCAAAATAATCATCCACGTATCGCAGCGCGGCGATCCGCAAGAGCACGCGCGCCGCCTCCGCGATGAAGGCACCCACTCGCGCCCAGCTGTGCACCGACGACGTGGCCCCGAAGGGCGCTGCCGCGTGCTGCGCCGCCCAGACCTGCCCGGCGGCGCTGAACACGATCCAAGCGAACCGGCGGTGCTCAGCGCGAATGGGCACGCGACGAAAGGCAGCGTCGATGTCTGCCTTCCAGAGGGCGGGTGCCCGCCCCGCAACTTCCTGGAAGATGCGAGCTGCTTCGAAAAGCGCGTCCACGGCATCGTGGTGGAGCCGCTCCTGAGGCCGCGTCGCCTCGTTAATCCTAGCCTTGGTCATGTCGTCGACCAACCGGAGTTTCGAGGACCCGTCTTCACGGAGCTGCTCAACCGCAAACCTCGGAGCGATGACGGCCCCGTCCAGGCACACGTCGCGGAGCGGCACCGGGCAACTGATGCGCCCCAGCTCGGCCTCGTCCCGTGTCTTGCGGAGGATGGCGTCGCCGTGCGCGCCGTCGCGGAGGCCACAGGAAATGTCGCGATTTGTCGACTCGGCGTTGCCGAGCAGCTCCGCGATGCCCAGACGGGGAGGGAACACCTCTGGGCTGCCGTGGCCCGACCGCGGGAGCTCGCCGACGAGGGGCGCCCCCGTCCTGAAGAATTCCACGCAGCCTGGGTCGCAGAAGGCAATGCGCTCCGCGATCTCTGCGCAGAGAGGCCCGTTCACGTGCTGTGCGACGCGCCGTGTGGCGGGGTCCACCCCCCCCCCCGGAACCTGGCCCGGAGAGCCCGATCCCTTTCGCGAAGCGCCGCGAGTTCGCCCTCGCGGAAAGCCACCACGTCGGCGGGGGCGGTCTGCGCGGCCCACCGCACTGCCTCAGCGGCCGTGGGCGGCAAAGCCGAGGCCGCGGCGGGCCGCCACTTGCCCCAGAGCGCGGGGTCGCCGTCCAGCGCCCTTGCCAGAAAGGTAAGTTTCTCCGCGTCGCCGCCGCTACAGCCGCCGGCCGCGACGCAGATGTCGCGCCACGCGCTGTCGCTGCAACGCCGAGACCAATCGCTCCTGAATTGCGGCCCTGGTGGCGCTGGCGGCGCCGGCATCACCTGACGCGCGCCGCTGGCTCGCGCGCGACCGAGAGCCGGGAAAGCGCGCCTTGCGAGATTTGGCGACGACGCATGCAGCCCCAGGCGCCGCCCGCTTTCGCGCGCCAGATGCGGGCGGCGGGGGCGGCACCGGCACGGCAGGCATTGCACAAGATTGCAAACCGCGGACGTGGACAAGGCGCCAAAGCGTAGCGAAAAGCGCCCTCGGAACGCACGCTGCCCCGCGGAACTCCCCCGCACGCCCCGCCCAGGCTGGCCGCGGCCAAGCCGGGCACCCGCAGCGCGGCGCGGAAAGCGAAGCGGCCTCCGCGGCAACAGCGCACGCGGCATGTCCCAGCACGCGAGTGGGGGTCCTGCGCGCGGCGCACGGGGCCATTTTTAGCGTCAAAGCGTAGAACTATCGGGCGCGCCCGGGTCACGGCCCCGACCCGGCGCGGGCGGAGGCAGGCTTTTGCGCGCGAGCCGTTCTGACGGCTGAAGGGGCTCCACCCCTACGGGGGCTCGCGCGCGCCCTGCCAGGGCGGCGCTCAGCGATGCGCCGGGCGCGGCGGCGTCCGTGCCTTCCTCGTGTCCTTTTTCTTCCAATCGCTGCCCCACGAGCGCTCGCGCTTCTGGCCCTTCGGCCAATCGCTGCCCCAGGAGCCGCTGCTCCAGCTCTGCGCGGCGCGCCACGGCTGGCTGGCGCCGCCCGCCCCGCGCGCCTTCTCGGGAGCGCGGGCCGCCGGTGCCTGCGCGCGCGGAAACGGCGGAGAAAGGTGGCAGAAGCGAATCCGCGCGGCGCGACGCTCGCCGTCGCGTGGGTGGCGCCGTCTTCTTTGTCGCAAGCATCCCGCGCCAGCTGTAGGGCGCGCGGGTCGACCCGCAGGATCGTCTTCCCCAGCTTGAAATCTGGGCCCCCCGAGCGTAGCTGCTCGGCCCATAGCTGCCACGCGCCGGCACAGACGCAGGGCGCCGCGCAAGCACGAACGCAGGGGCGCGCCTTCCGCGCCTCCTCGTCGCACACGATACCGAGGTGCACGCGGCGCTTCGAGGCCGCCGCCTGCGCGGCAACGCGCGGCGAACAGAGAGCGACGAGAAATCGCGCGCGTGCAGCCTGAACCGCCACCTTCAAGCAGTTGTCGCGATGCGCCTGCACCTCAGCCCACGTGAGCTGGCCCGTGGCGACCAGCGCGACCATGTACCTGCCGCGCGCGGCGCGATAACAGGCAGGCGCGCGGGGGGGGCGCGCGACGGGCAGGTGGCGCCGGTTCCAAGCCAGTTGCCACTGGCAGAGGGTTAAGTAGGCCTTCTTCTCGGGCCCTTTCTTCACCGCCGCCACTTCCTGCGGGGCGAGCGCCCGCGCGCGGGCCAGGCAACGCGCGCGCGGCACGAGCCTTGGCGAGGTCACGAATGTCCTTGCTGGCGCCGGACGATCCGTCAGCCTCCTCTTCGAAATCGCGAGGGCCCGAGCGGGCCCACTCGGGCACCCACTTGCGGATGTCCGAGTACAGGAAGACGCGCGCTTCCTCGCTGGATTCCTTCTTCTGCCGCTTCAAGACTTCCGCGTTCAACGCGTCAAGCATGTCGGAGCTACCGGCGCACGGGACCAGATGCGAGAACCAGCGCGCGCGCGCGAGCGCGCCTGGGCCAGAACTCTTGCGGGAGGTTGGCCAGCGACGCCTTGCCGAGGAGAGGGCCCAAGAGTACGCGGGCCGGCTTTTCCTGCGAACGCGCCGCGCGGGGCCACGCGAGCCCGAGATCGCGTCGAGATCGCTTGCGCCTCGCTGGTGCCCGTCTTGAGCGCGGCCAAGAGGGCGGCCGCGTTCTCCGCCGCCGAGGGCGCTGGAGGGGCGGCCGCCGCCGAGCCCCCAGCCACCGGCGCCGGCGTGCTCGCCGCGGCGATCCCCGCGCGCACGAGGCGCTTCTGCGCGGCGTCGAGCTCCTTGTCGGCAAAAGAGAAATCCTCGAATGCCGCGCCCTCTAAATCGGCGATCGTCGCCACACCTTGGCCCTTGAGCGCGGTCACCGTGGCTTCGAGCCAACCGGCCTCGTGCGCCGACGCGCCGTCCAAGGCGCCAAGAAAACTGCCGAGGTCGCCCATCGCGAAGAGCGGTGCCGCGCGGCGCGAGACAGCTTGGGCGCCCGAACTCGGCGAGCTGCCGGCGCGAGCGCGCACAGGACGGAGACTGCGCGGGACCCCAAGAGGTGGCGACCAGGCCTGCGCCCCTCACGAGAGGGGGAAGACCAGGGGCCTGCGCCCAACCCAAGAGAAGGCCCGGGAGCTCTCCCAAGAAGAAGCCAGAGCCCAGCCAGACGGGGTCTTGGGGCCTGCGCCCTACCCGACACAGGGATCAACGGGATGCGCCCTCCCCCTTTGCACAAATGGGTCCTGGGGCCTGCGCCCTACCCAAGACAGGGATCTACGGGATGCGCCCTCCCCCTTTCGCCCTGGGGCCTGCGCCCTACCCGAGACACGGTGCCAGGGGCCAGCGCCCTCCCCCACGCAAGACGAGGAGCCAGAAGCCAGCGCCCTGCCCGAGACAAGGCCCGCGGGCCGACCCACGAGGAGAGCGGTGCCCAGCAAGACGGGGTCCAGGGGCTTGCGCCCTACCCAAGACAGGGATCAACGGGATGCGCCCTCCCCATTTTGCACAGTTGGGTCCTGGGGCCTGCGCCCTACCCGACACACAGGGATCAACGGGATGCGCCCTCCCCCTTTCGCACCACTGGGTCCTGGGGCCTGCGCCCTACCCAAGACAGGGATCTACGGGATGCGCCCTCCCCCGAGACAGAAAGAACGCGCGCCAGGGAGGCGCCCGCCGCGCGCGCGCGCGGGGCGCGCGCGCGGCGCCTCCTCCAAATGCAAATCGCCTGCGAAGCGCCCGCGCCGCGGGGGCAGGCAGCGACCCCCCCCCCGCGGCGACGCAACCCCGGCGCTAGCAAATCACCTGCGAAGCGCACGCGCCGCGGGGCAGCGCAACCCCCCCCCGCGACGCGCAAGCTGGCGCGCGACGGCGCGATGGCCCGCGCCTGCGCAGCGAGGCCGCGGTCGCGTCGCACTGCCGCGCGCGCGACCTAGCGCGCAACCGCGCCGATTTGCGAGCGCCCACAACGTGACAAGCGCGTCCAGGACGGACTTGCGCGAGGCAACCTACCAGCCGCACGCGGGGGCGACAAGACGACGACGCCGAAATAAAGTGGTCGGAGACTCGGCGACCCTGTGCAGAGGGCGCGATCGCGAGCGCGGAGCAGGCACAGGCACGGTTGGGGAAGCGCCACGAGGGGCAACGAGCACAAGCGAGCAGCTGGGGGGAGCGAACAGGCCACGAGGGACGAGCACGGAGGGCAGGCAAGCAGGAGAGAGCGAGAGAGAGACGAGGCGACCCGCGAGGAGAGGAGGAGAGGAGGAGCCCGCGAACGACGGCGGCGGCGCGCGCGCGCGCGGCGCGCCCCGCGCTCAAATCCCGAGCGCGGGGCGCGGCCCAATTCCTGCCTGCGGCCAATCTGCGGGGCAGAGGGGGAGAGGAACCTGCGCGAGAGGGAGGGCGGCCCGCCGATGGAGCGGCGGCGGCGCGAGCGCGCGCGCGGCGCGCGCGCGCACACACACACACAAACACGCAACACACACACAGACACACACACACACACACACAACACGCACCACACACACTACAGCCAGCTGGAGGCATTTGAGCAGGAGGCTCGTGGGCTCGCGGCGAAGCACGAGGACCGCTGCAGCACGAAGCGGAGTCAGCAGTGGCGCAAGTGGGCGCGCGAGGCGGTGCAAGACGGCCCAGGGGCTGCGCATCGCCACTGCAAGGCGCCGCTGGCCTGGGCGCAGGAAGGCGGCGGCTGCCTTCATAGGGTCCACGGCCACAGGGGCCGACTGCATCAAACTCCAGTCCTTCGGCCACCCGAGCGACAACGGCTTCGTCGCGTTTGGGCAGTTGCTGCAGGTGCTGGAGGCGACGCGCAGGATCCCGGGGCAGCTCGACACGGTCTACATCTTCTTTTTGGTGAAGGCGGAGGGGGGCTGGCACCCCGTCTGGCCCCTCAGCAGCTCGGTCCGCCCGCCGGGGAAGATGCGTCGAGGCGAAACCCCGGACTGGGAGAGGCAGCGCACCAGAGAGTTCTTCTACGGCGGCGATGGCAAGTCATGCGGGGACGCAGTCTGGCTCCAGGCGTTCGACGCCGACATGGCGGCAGCGATGGAGCAGCTTTCGATGGCGTCGATGCTGTACCTGTCCAATGCGCGCGAGCGGATGCGTCGCGCAGGCTCGGTGGCGGCAGCTCGGGGGCACGGGTTCCGCATGCGGCGCCCGGAGCTCATCCTCCGCTCGCGCTGCGAACGCCGCGGGCACTGTCTGGGCAAGTGGGTGACCGAGGCCTTCCCGCTGGGGGCCTCGATTATCGCGGGCTGCGCGTTCGCCGCGGCCCTGCTGGAGGTCATGCTCCTCTCGGCCATGGACGTCCTCATGCAGAGCTGGCTGAACGTCCGCGCCTACTTGGCCGTGGATGACGTCACCCTGGCGGCCCACGGTCGGCTGAGGGACGTGGGGTTCGGCATTTTCGGCGCTGCCAGGTGGCTCTGCCAGAGACTGGAGGAAGACGCTTTCATCATCTCGGCCACCAGTGTCCAGCGACGCCGAGGCCGGCAAAAGGACGGCCCACCGCCTCAGGAAGTGGGATCTCAGGTTGCGCCGCGAGGCCGACAGAGCGTTTCTTTACCTTCGGCGATGACGGGCGTCATGGGGGGGGGGGGTGGGGGGGGGGGGGGTGCGGGGGAGATTCGGTCTCTTTACAACCAGAACAACCACTTTACAACCAGATGGGTTACTTTACAACCAACATAGGATTGGAAAGTATGGTTTTTCATCGAGAACGTCCACTTTGCAACCAGAACGGCCCACTTTACAACCAGAACGGACCACTTTACAACCAGAACGGGCCACTTTACAACCAGAACGGACCACTTTACAACCAGCTCAGAGTGGCCGTGCGTGTTTGGGCGTTCCGCAAAGTGCTCCAGAGCAAGTGGGCGCTCTGAAAAATGCCCCAGAGCAAGTGGGCGCTCTGAAAAATGCCCCAGAGCAAGTGGGCGCTCTCAAAAGTGCTCCAGGGCGCGCGGACGTTCTGAAAAGTGCTCCAGAGCACGTGGGCGCTCTGGAGCCCGAGCGCCTGAACTCTTTGCGCAGGCCCCAGCGATGCCTCTGAGCCCGAGCGCCTGAACGCCCTGCGCAGGCCCCAGCGATACCTCTGAGCCCGAGGACCTGGGCGCTCTGCGCAGGCCCCAGCGATGCCTCGGAGCCCGAGGACCTGGACGCTCTGCGCAGGCCCCAGCGATGCCTCTGAGCCCGAGCGCCTGGACGCTCTGCGCAGGCCCCAGCGATGCCTCTGAGCCCGAGCGCCTGGACGCTCTGGCGCTCTGAGCCCAGCAGACTAAGACAGGGCTTGCTAGCAGGGGCCAAGCGGCCTCAACAAGGGCCCCGTGCTCGCACGGGAATAAGGCGACAGCATACGTAGGAAGGCTCAGGGCGACGCGCTGCCCATTTTAGGGACCACTCACAGGAAGCGAGCACAGTGGCCTCCACAAGGGCCCAGCGCTCCAGGGAACTAGGCCATTGGCACCGCGGGTCTCTTGCGCCACGTTGGCCCCTGAAGCCCCACTGTGTTCTGCAAGGGGCTCAGTGCTCCAGCTCCAGTTGGCCCCCTGCTGCTCCTCTTCTTGGAAGATCGAGGTTCAACGTTCCGAATAAATGCAACTATTTCGAAGATCGTTCCTTCCAGCGTCAGCCACAGCGCCAGCGCAGCAACGCAGGTATCCTGCTCGGGCAGCAGCCTCAGCCACCGTGCCAGCGCAGCAGCTTGAGCCACCGTGACAGCGCATCACCGCCACCTTTGTGCCTGCTACCGCCAAACTTACCGCTGCAGCCCCGCTACCTCCACAATTCCGACTGACCCCCCGCTACCACCGCAAATCCCATTGCAGCCCAGCTACCACCACAGTTCCCACCGCTGCCTGGCGACCACCACAGTTGCCACCGCAGCTTCCCAACGCCATGCAGTTCCCATTGTAGCCCCCGCTACCACCACATCTCCCACTACAGCTTCCCACTGCCATGCAGCTCCAGTCTTGGACGGGATCATGGTCTATTCGTATGCCCTGCGCGACTAGCCTTCGCCCGTCAGAAAAAATGCAGAGCAAGCAATGGCAGAACTGACCGACAGAGCTTAGAGAGCAGGTCAAAACCCTAATCCGCCCACCAGCACGCAACATACCATAGCGCACCAGGTCGCCGCATCGCCAACGCGTGCGCAGTGCTTCTTCGTGCGCGTTGGGCAACTTTACAACCAACATGCCTCAGAGAGCCCAAAGCCACCCTTGCGCTTGCCCACGGAGATTCCAGGGAAAGGCCCGCGTGCATTCAATATGTGTTTTTACTTGCCTGGTTGTAAAGTGCCCTTCCTGGTTGTAAAGTGCCCTTCTCGGATTTTGTAAGCTGGTTGTAAAGTGACCCATCTGGTTGTAAAGTGCGCTTCTGGTTGTAAAGTGACCCACGCGCGGTGCGGGGGGGGGCGTGGCGCAACGCCCCCCCCCGCCGCGCGGCTCCGGCACCACAGCCGCGCTCGCGCGCACGACGCGACGGGCGATGAGCAACGAGCGACGACGACGACGAAGACGAGGACGACGCGAGCAACATGTAGGTGGCGATATGTCCCACTGCGCTTTTGTGCACATCGCTCGCGTGCACCGCAGCGCGCGCGAACGCCGCGACACCTGCGTGCGCCGCAGGAACCGTGTGCAACGCAGCGCTTGTGCACACCACAGTGATTGCGTACGCTACAGCTCCGGCGTACATGTGTACACCGAAGCAACCATGTGCAACAGAGCGCCTGTGCACACCACAATGTTTGCGTGCACCGCAGCGCCTGTGCACGCCACGGCGCCTGTTTACACCGCAGCATCCGCGTGCAAAGCAGCGCGACTGTACACCTGTGCCTGCGTGCAGGACAGTGCTGAAAATCAAATGCGACGTTCTTCCCTCTTCCCTCCTCCTCCACCTCCACCTCCACTTCCTCCTCCTCCTCTTCCCCTTCCTCCTCCTCCTCCTTTTTCTCCTCCTCTTCCTCCTCTTCCTTTTCGTGCAGCTGGGCGGCAATTCCAAGAAGGGCGAGAACGCGGACGTGGGCTACGATCCTGCCGCCACCCTCGGAAGGCATGCCGCGCGGGGCGCTCGGGGCGCGAGCGCCGAGGACGCCGCGCGGGGCGCTGAGGATCTCGGGGGCGGATCGAGAGCACCGCGAGAGGGGGCGCTCGCCAGCGTTGCTCCACTCGCCTCTGCATGACGCGGGTGGAGAGGAGGTGGGCCCCAGGGCCGCGACGTCCCGAGCGCGAGCCGCCGCGAGAGAGCGGCGCGGGACGAGGGCCGCCGCGCCATCGGCGGCAGAGAGCGCGGCGCGGCCAGCGCCGCGCAGTTCGCGGGGAGCGAGATGCGAAATAATCGGCATACTCTTCCTCCTCCTTGCCCCCTGTCGCGCGGGGGTGGCGCTGCAGCAGGCGGCGCGCAGTGCGCCGCATAATGGTTTATTGAATCGGCCCACTTGGTTTTCGCACGGCCAACTTAACTGGGGCACCCTGGGCGCAGATGGGAGAAGTTAGGGTGGCGCGGGCGGACTGGGGAGAGCTCGTGCATTCCAGCGGCGCTCCTTTGTCCAACAGGATTCTTTTGTATTGCTTTCCACAGGCGCTCCGTTCTGGCATACGGATTACATCTGACATTCGATATGCAAGTGTGGCGCTGCGTTGCGCGCGGTTGTGGTGGTGCACGCAGGCGCCGCGGCGTGCACGGGCGCTGCAACGCGCGCAGGCACTATGGTATACACCGGCGCTGTGTTGCGCACGCCTGATGTGGTGCACGCAGGCGCCGCGGCGTACACAACAGCTGTTGTGCCCGCGAGCACGGCGGCACAAACTGACGCTGTGTTGCACGCGGCCGCCGCGGTGTACATGCGCGGCGTGGTGCACGCAGGCGCTGTGGCGCGCGCAAGCACTGTGGTGGTCACAGGCGTTGTGGCGCAGATCGCCGCCGACATGCTGGTGCTATCCGTCCTCCGTCTTTCCTAGGCATTCCCAGACGCCGCCGGCGCGAAACACGATGTCATCGACCCCTCCACACCCCCTCATATGATTGCCGCGGTCGGCCCGAACAAATAACAGACATCAGCCGCGCCCGTGCACGACGACGACGACGATGACGACTGCGGACCAGACTCGCATTCGGATTCTCACGCGGACACCAATGCGGATCCCAGCGCGCACGGCGGCAGCGCCCAGAACGCGCTGGGGGGGGGAGCGTTGCGTCATAAAGGGGGAGAGGGGGGCGGGGGCCACGATGCCCGTCATTCCCAAAGCAATAAAGAAATGGTCTCCATGAACCTGTGGATCGGTTTCACGCTCGGCGGCAAAGCCTCGCGGGGGGTGCTTCGAGCGAGGCCGGGGCGCCTAACGGTGAAGGTGCAGCGGCCTCGCCACCATTTTCCAGGGCGTCCGAGTCAAGGGGGGTCCGTCCAAAGTGCTCGACCAGGCCAGGACCATCAACGGCAAGGCGGTGGCAGGCGGCTGTGGCAAGAGGAGCAGGACGCTGCAGTTCGCTTCCAGCCTAGACTTGGGTGGCGCCAAGACTCCGCCTACGCGGCGAACTGCTTGCCGCTGGTGGCGCGGGTCAAGGCGGCCTTCGCCCAATTCAGGCCTGGGGCCAGCACGCGCGAGGTTTTCGAGCCGGCGCGGCCAGCCCATTGGGGTCAGGTCACGGGGCCTGCGGGCGCTGCGCGCTCAGCGTAGGCCGCATCGGGTGGACAGCGGAGTCGCGGCGCGCGGGTCACTGACGCGGGTGAGTCGATCGACGTGAAGTCCCACGGCCCGACGATGGTCAGAGCGCTGGTCGAGCGGGGGGTCACATATCCCGTCTTCGCACTGTGCCCGCGCACTTTTACGGGCAGCCGGCAGTTCCGCCCACGACGCGCTTTGCGCGGGCGGCGCTAGAGGTGCCGAGGGCGCAGGGCGACGCGGAGCAGGTCGCGCTGGTCGAGAGGTTGGCGCGCGGCGGGATGGTCTCCCAGACCGACCTATCTGCGGAGCGAGCCGCCACTTCGGCCGACTGCCAACGGCGTGGCGCTGGCCTGGTTTCGCACCACTACAGGCTCTTCTCTTGCGACGGCACGACGCTCGATGCGAGGGGCATGGGCCTGGCGGGCGCGCGCGTGGCTGGAGCTGCAGCAGGCATCACGGACATGTGCTTCGCGAGGTGCCTCGTCCCGCTTGGGCTGCAGGCGGCGCCCGTCCCCGCTGAGGACGACAAGTGTCTCCGAGCGGGCGTCCTTCGGCATGGGGGTTTATCGGGCACGGTCTGCATCGACGTGTCTGCCTCCCCCCCGCAGCTTGTCGAGCTCACGAGGGCGGGCTGGGCTGGCGTCGCGATCGCGGAGGACTGGGGGCATCGTGGGCGGCCTGATGGGCGCGGCCCCTGGGGTCGCGCAGAAGATCGGCTTCGCTGAGCTCTGCGCCCTGGCTCGCGCGCCGCGCGAAGCGGCCCGGGGCGAGCTGTGCGCGGCCGCGAACTGCGCGAATGTGGTGGGTGAAATTTTCGGAAGGGGCCAGGTTGGCGCAGGAGCCCCGATTGCGAGTGCGCGCGTCTCTGGAGTGAGATCCGTTTCAGAGTTCGTTTGCGACATGAGCGAGCGCTTCGAGCTCCGTTGGACGAGAGCCCACGCCAGCTGGGGCCGCAGCAGAGCGCGCGGGCACGATGGCCCGCTGACACATCGGCAGCCACGGGGCCGACAAGAGGGACAATTCGGGTGGCCAGCTGGCTGCGCGCCGACTACGAGGAGGTCGGCGAGGTCGCCAGGCGCGCGAGCGCGGCGGCTGTCGCCGGGACGCAGCTGTTGCGCCACCGCGGCGCGGTGCTGAAAAAGGCCGCAGGCGAGGGGTGGCCCGATCGGTCGGCCCTCCCCCCGCGTTGCCCGCCCCAGGCGCGTTCCCTGGTCTCGGGTCTCTCTGGGCACGCCTCGAGGTGTCTTTGGACGCCCTGGGGCTGCAGCAGGCGTGGGGCCAGGAACGGGCTCCGACTGTTCGCCACCCCTGCCTTGGTGAGCCTAGGCCCGCGGCGATCGCTCATCCCTCGGAAGGGCTACGGGTGGCTCGGGGTGGGCGCGGGGCGCGGGGGGGGGGGCGGTCGGGCCTTTGGGAGGGACGATTCGGTTATATTCTGCAAGCTGTGCGGGGCACATACCCGACGGCAGACCCACCTCCTGGCCAGACAGTGTCGCCCCTGGACGTCTCGGCCCAGGGACTCGGCCCGTCTGGGGAAGGCGGCCCTGGAGCGCCTTCTGCCTGGTCGGGAGCCCCAGTCTGGTGTTGTTTGGGGTCTGCCTTTTCCGCTCTCGCGTGTTTCGGCCCCTGGTCCGAGGCCCAGGGGTGCCGAACGTGAGTTTTTGGCGGCCGCGCCCCCGAGGACAGGAGTTCGCGGGGGGGGGGGGGGGGCTGACTCCCTAATTTTTTCTTTGCCTCGAAGTGCGAGGGTCGGGCCCTCGACTTCGGGGCGGGTCCTGCTTTAAGTAGGCGGGTGTGGTTAGCCGCGTCGACTACGCTTCTTAGGAGCTAGATAAACTAGAGGACGAGGATGAGGAGGAGGAGGAGGAGGAAGAGGAGGAGGAGGAGGACGGAATAGTAGGGTGGGGGGGGAGGAGGAGGAGGAGAGAAGGAGGAGGAGGAGCAGGAGGAGGAGGAGGAGGAGGAGGCGGAGGATGAGACAGGTCGCCCAAGCCCTTCGGGAAAACCCTCCAACAGCGGGGCGACCGCGTGAAAGGACGTCCCTCTCCAGCTGGTCGAGGCGCCCCGTGGCTTCGGCGGCGGGATAAAGACTGGAGGAGGAGGAGGAAAAGGAGGAGGAGGAGGAGGAGGAGGAGGAGGAGGAGGGCCGGAGGAGGAGGAGGAGGGCCGGAGGAGGAGGAGGGCCGGAGGAGGAGGAGGATGGAGGACGAGGACGAGGACGAGACGAGGACGAGGACGAGGAGGAGGAGGAGGAGGAGGAGGAGGGGGAGGAGGAGGGGGGAGGAGGGGGGGGGAGGGGGAGGAGGAGGGGGAGGGAGGAGGAGGAACAGGAGGAGGAGGAGGAGGAGGAGGAGGAGGAGGAGGAGGAGGAGGAGGAGGAGGAGGAGGAGGAGGAGGAGGAGGAGGAGAGGAATAGGAGGAGGAGGAGGAGGAGGAGGAGGAGGAGGAGGAGGAAAGAGGAGGAGGAGGAGGAGGAGTGGGGAAGGAGGAAAAGGAGGAGGAGGAGGAGGAGGAGGAGGAGGAGGAGGAGGAAGAGAGGAGGAGGAGGAGGAGGAGGAGGAGGAGGAGGAGGAAGAGGAGGAAAAGGCGGAGGAAACGTAGGAAACGGAGGATGATGAGGATCGGCTCGGGCCCAACGCTGGCAGCCCCCAGCGGCGGTGGAGGCCGTCGAGGCACGCCGCGGCGGCGGCGGCCGCCCCTCCCACCGATGCCAGGAGGGCCCCCCATGCTCGCCGCCGACAAGCTGCTGCTGACGAGCACGATCCGCAAGAACGCCACCGAACTCAAGGGCAAGGAACCGTGGAGGAGGCGGAGGAGGCGGAGGAGGCGGAGGAGGAGGAGGAGGAGAAGGAGCATGAGGGAGGAGGAGGAGGAGGAGGAGGAGGAGGAGGAGGAGGAGGAGGAGGAGGGAGGAGCAGCAGGAGCAGCAGGAGAAGCAGGGGGCCCAGGAGAGCCGCGGGCTCTGCGCGTGTGTCCCAGAGCGTCAGGGGGATCGCCACCCCCCCGCCGGGAGGAGGAGGAGGAGGAGGAGGAGGAGGAGGAGGAGGAGGAGGAGCAGGAGCAGGAGGAGGAGGAGGAGGAGCAGGAGGAGGAGGAGCCTCAGAGCCCCTCCTTCCCCCTGGCGGGCGACCGTCGCGCATCTTGCACGTTCCTTTCCCTCGCTATAAGATTACCTTTTTGGGCCTCCCGGGGAGCTCGTGACCGCGGCAGCTGCACTCGCCTCGGAGCCCTGGTCTAGAGAGTCTGCACATTGAAGTCTCTTGCTTCCATGAGGAGGAGGAGGAGGAGGAGGAGGAGGAGGAGGAGGAAATGAGGAAGACGACGGCGAGGAGGGAAACTATGACGAGGAGGATTAACAGGCGGAGGAAGGGGCGTTTACGGAAGAGGAGCGGGAGGAGGAGTAGGAGGAGGAGGAGGAGGAGGAAGGGGAGGCGGAGGAGGAGGAGGAGGAGGACAAAGAAGACAAAGAGGACAAAGAGGACAAAGAGGACAAAGAGGAGGATGTGGACGACGAGGTGAGGCAGAAGAGGAGGCGCAATAGATGAGGTATCGATGCCTGCTCTCAAGAGGACGGCGACGATGACGAAGATCCTGGTCCTCTCCCTCCTCCTTCTCTTCCTCCTCCTCCTCCTCCTCCTCCGCCTTGTGTGACCTTCGGGCGGCCCTCTTCGCGCCACGGCCGGGCGCGGCTCGAGCAACTGGGTGGTTTGGGTTTCGGAGATCCGGCGCATGCTCTTGGGGAGGGGGCAGGAGGGGGCAGGAGTGGGATCGTCGGCCGCGCGCAGAGGGGGGTGGAGTCAGTGGGGAATGCTTATTTGAAGCACCCCCCCTTTTTAAAAGGCGCTGGCGACCCTTCTAAGAAGCTCGTGGCTGCTTCTAAGAAGCTGCCAATGGTGTGCTTCTAAGAAGCAGATGGCTTGCTTCTAAGAAGCCGCTCTTGCGTTTAATAAGCAGATCCGTGCTTATAATAAGCTGCTGAGGTGTTTCTGAGACGCGGCGCGCCCCTGGCTTCTTAGAAGGGCGACCAGCGCACTCTAAGCGGCAGCCACCTTCTAAGAAGCCTTCCCCCCTCACTCAACCCCCCTGTGCGCGCCGCCAAAAGAAGATCGCGCATCGCATCGTTGCTCTTCTTGGTCTCTGGGGACATGTGGCTGTGTCTGGCTCTGCTCGGGCCTCCTTGGGCCAGAGGGACGGGGAGGGGGAGAAGGGGGGGCGAAGACGGAGGATCGCCCGGGAGAGAGAGAGAGAGAGAGAGAGAGAGAGAGACAGAGCGTCCGCCTGTTCAGACAAACCGCGGAGGAGGGGGAGGGAAGGAGGAGGAGGATAGACTCCAGTAGTGTGGCTGCACGCTCAGTTGCTCTGCGCCCTCGCGGGCACTTTTTCCCCAGCATTGATATCCGCACTGACCTGCAGCCTTATGTTGCCACCAGATCCAAGTCGGATCGAGTTAACTTGTCTTTCAGTCACCGTCGAACGCTACAAGCCTAGCACTTTATGTATGCCTAACGTCAATAATCGGCGGCAAGCCCGTGGGGAAGTGAGAAGGGGCGGGCTCTCTCGGAAGGCTCGGAAGTCTGTGGCTCTAGGCTTTCCCCGAGGACACACGGAAAAACAAACAAAACACATCAACAACAAGAACAAACCCAGAAGGCCAGAGGCCTTCTGGGAAGCCCCGCCGCCCTCTGAGAAGGCCTTCTGCTTCTCATGCCCCCCCTCCTCGCTCGCCGCCGAAGGCAAGGAGGAGAGGCGTGGCCGCCGCGGCGGCGGCGGCAGCAAGAGGAGGGCGGCAGCGGCGCCCCGGCCCGAGAGCCTTCCCCCCCCCCCCCGAGTGTGAGCAGTGGGACTGGGGCGCGGAGGCACAGGAGGGAGGACGAGCAGCGGGAGAGGAGCAGCAGCGTCGGCAGGGCGGCGGGCAGGGGGACGAGGAGGAGGGGGGAGGGAGGAGGAGGACGAGGAGGAGGACGAGGCGCAGAAGGAGGACGAGGGAGGGGAGGAGGAGGAGGAGGAGGAGGAGGAGGAGGAGGAGGAGGAGGCAGGAGGAGGAGGAGGAGGAGGAGAAGGAGGAGGAGGGGGGGGGAGGTGGACGAGGCGCAGAAGTAGGACGGGGAGGAGGAGGGGGGCGAGAGGGGGCGCAGAAGGAGCACGTGGCGGAGGAGGAGGAGAGGAGGAGGAGGAGGAGGAGAGGAGGTGGAGGAGGAGGAGAGAGGAGGGGGGGAGGGGGAGGGGGAGGGGCAGGGGGAGGGGGAGGGGGAGGAGGAGGAGCGGGAGGGGCAGCGGGAAGGAGGGGCCAGGCTGCGGGGGCGCAGGAGCCGCACGAGTGGGTCCTGTCACCCCTCCCCGCTCTCCCTCCGGTCTGTCCGTCGCTGTCTGCCTTCTGTCTTCTACCCCCTGCAGCCGGCGACTCTGGGAGCGTTGGTCTTGCTGGGGCGCGCGATGGGGGGCGATGAACTGGGGACGCATGGGCCCTTCAGGGCCCCCTGAAGGTGAATTTATCAAGGGAGGAAAAACCATCCAGACTGGACAATTGGAGTTTACTAAGCGGCCCTGGGCGTTTACTAACCAGCCCTGCCCTGTTTGATTCCATCTTTGGGTGCGTTTACTAAGCGGCTTCGCGTGTCGGGGTGGCTGTTATCGGGGTGGATTTTCTGCCCTCTACTGTAGGGTCCTAAGATTGTGCATTTCTTCCCCCTCCATGTATCGCCCCCCATGAAGTCGCGCTCAAGCTCCAGGAACCGCCTGGCCTTACTTTGATCACCTCCCCCGGGGCCGACCGGCCCCGTGGGGTGGAGGGCGGCGTCCGTGTGGCTCTCGCGCCTTCAGTCCACAGCCCGCAGGGGGGGAAGGTCGGGCGGGGCTAGGACGAGGAGAAATCTGTTCCAGAGCGCTCTGGCACGCTTTCTCTAGAACCGCCAGATCTCAGAGATTCTCGATCGATCCTCAGCCGATATTATCCTCGTCCAGGCTTCGGCTCAGAAGGGCGGTACTGAGGAGGACGCTCGCCGGTCGCATATGGAGCAGGACGGGCGCTGGGCGATTCGGCCTCCTCAGGCCATGCGCCGCCGAGCTCCTGCAGGCGCCGTTCGGAGGAGGGGAGGGAGGGTGGAGGGTTTCTCCAATGGGCTTAAGCGACCCGTCCTCCTCTCCCCTCCTCATCCTCCTTTTCCTCCTCCTCCTCCTCCTCCTCCTTCTCCCTCCTCCTCCTCCTCGTCCTCAAGGTGGAGCGCTGCCAGTGGCCCGTAGCCGATCGATTGATCGAGCGGTGAGCGCTGGGGTTGAACGATTCACGCCGAAGTCGTCACGACACGAGCCAGCCGAGGGGGAGGACGACGAGGAGGAGGAGCAGGAGGAGGACGAGTTGGAGGAGGAGGAGGAGGACGAGGACGAGGACGAGGAGGAGGAGGAGGAGGAGGAGGAGCATGGCCCTGCGGAGGAGCTCTCGCTGCACAAGACAAACTTCGATGCCGTGGGCACGCAGGCTCCGCACGGGGTGCTCCTCCACCATTTCGCTGGCGGGTCGCTCACGTTTCGCAGCAAAGTCTCGACCCGTTCTCCACGGAACCCGAAATGTCCCCCGAAGGTCGGAACATGAGAAGAGGTTGACATTGAAAAGCTAGCCAATGCGCCAGAAGTCTTGGCCTTCGACTTTGGGGGGCATGTTCTTTGTCGCCCCTCCCTGTGCCGAACGCGAGGCCTCGGCCGCGGTGTGTGTGTGTGTGTGTATGTGTGTGTGCGTGTGTGTGTGTGTGTGTGTGTGTGTGTGTGCGTGTGCGTGCGTGCGTGTGCGTGTGTGTGTGCGTGTGTGTGTGTGTGTGTGTTGTGTGTCTGTGTGTCTGTGTGTCTGTGTGTGTGTGTCTGTGTGTCTGTGTGTGCGTGTGTGTGTGTGTATGTGCGTGTGTGTGCGCGTGTGCGTGTGCGTGTGCGTGTGCGTGTGCGTGTGCGTGTGAGTGTGCGTGTGCGTGTGCGTGTGCGTGTGCGTGTGCGTGTGCGTGTGCGTGTGCGTGTGCGTGTGCGTGTGAGTGTGCGTGTGCGTGTGCGTGTGCGTGTGCGTGTGCGTGTGCGTGTGTGTGTGCGTGTGTGTGTGTGGGTGGGGGGGGGCTCCTCCTCCTTCGTGCATTGCGGCCTTAATTTGCATACAGCGTGTCCCCTGTTGCCAATCCGTCTGAGCAGTCGCCCTCTGCCCAGCCGCCGCCGACACAAACAAGTATCTCTGTGTGTGTGTGTCTGCGTCTGCGTCTGCGTCTGTGTCTGTGTCTGTGTCTGGGTTAGTGTCTGTGTTGTGTGCGTGCGCGTGTGTACCGGGACCATAAAAATCTTCCCGGATATCATTGCCGCCTCTTTTTCTTACCACGCCCTTGGCTCCCCCCTCGTCTGCGCACATGCCTCGGGCCATGCTTGCGCACCGCCCCTCTTTTCCTTCCTTATACTCCTCGGCGCACCTGACTCGTTTTCCCTCCCTCTCCCTCTCCCCGTAAGACCTCCGAAAGAGCCGCTGGAGACCTCTCCGAGCGCCTGAAATCCGCCCAGTATGTTTACCCATCGGTCGTTGAAAGTAGGGATTTCTGGAATCCCAGATTCCTATCTACTTTAAGCGCCTTCCGATTTCAATGATCGAGTGGCTTCACCTTTTCGGTCCGTGTTAGGGGGAGAGCGGACACCCAGTCGACTTTCAACGCTTTACTACTTCATGTTGTTACCTACTTCTCCCGACCGATGTGTATGTCCGCGCCCTCGCCGTCTGGGTATCAGTGACGCCGATCCCGTGTGCACGTGGTCGCGCGGATGCATCCCGCGCGGCGCATCCGGGTGAGGCCACGAGGTGGGGTGGCTCTGGAAGCCAACGGATCATAGCCCAATGTGACACCTCCGACCACGATGGGGGCGAGGTAGAGTTGGCGAACGCTTGCTGCGACTTGGGGTGGGATCCCAGAGAACGCCGAAGGCCCGCACTCCAACGCCAGCCTCGAAGGCCGCCGAAATGCCGCGGTAGACCCCCATCCCCGGTCCCGGCACCCCGCTTGCGAAGGATGTCCGCGGGTGCCGTCGTCGGTGGCGGGGGGGGAGATTACTTCTGGGCAGCTCCACGGATGCGAAGCGCGCCCGCGCCGTACGGGCGAGGGGCTTCGGTGAGCAAGCTCGCGCGCAGGTTCTTGGTGCCGACGCTCCGTGGCCCCCTCCCGGGGCCGGCCCGAGCCCGGGCCGGGGCCAGTCGCGCACCTTTGCAGAGCGCCGACCGCAGCACGGTGAACGCGTCGACCCCGCCGACCGCAGCCGACGGCGCCCCTCTCCCGCTTCTCCGGATGATCCTCCGGACGTGCGCCAGCGCCACCGTGTGTGTGTGTGTGTGTGTGTGTTTGTTCGCCGAAGCCCCGAAACCCTCATCCTCGATCGCCCCTCGAATTGATTGGGGCATCCCGGGACGGGCGCAGGAATCTGCTACATTACAGTCAGCTTGTTCCGCATGTCGCACTTCGGCTTGTGCGCTTTCCGCTAGTGGTCGCAGGCTGCACCGAGTGAGACGGGTGGTGTAATCGATGGTTCGCGTCATTCCTTTGGCCCTCCCTCCCCTCCCCAAAACCAAAACAGACAACGAACAAGAAAGCGTCCCCCATACCCTCTTCCTCGATCGTCCCACCACTGCCCCACGCACTTTGTGTTAAGTCTGGCATCTCTCTCTACACGAGGACTAGTCAAACGTAGCCCAAAAATATAGTGGGGATGATATTTCTACCATCCCAGTCTTCTTCCAACATCCGCCTGTAGGAGGACATGCCCGACCGAAACTTTGTGGCGCCGCGGCCACGCGCGCAGGCGATGCGACGGAGGGCAGCCGAGGAGCCTGACGTCGGGACGATCGAAATGGGTGCGGAAAGGCGGGGTACGATGCCCGACAGCAGTTCCTATGCATTTCGAACAGGGCTCGCTGCCCGCGCCGCCGCGGACGTTGTTCCCTGAAGACAAGGAGCCGCCCGCCCAACATTGGCCGCTGTCTGTTTTGGACCACATGTGTTGTTGGGCATTGTACCCATTTATGTCCGTACCCATTTTCGGCGTCCACGGGGCGGCTGCGCACGAAGCACGCGCCGCGAGGCCACCGAGAAGCGGCCGGGGAGTTTTTCGCGAGGCCCAGCGAGGAGCGCAGGCGCTCCCACACGGGGACGCAGGCATCTGACGATGTCTGATTTTAAGTCGGGCGCGTCCCTCTACGGGAGGAAAATTCAAACACAGTCAAACATTAGTCAGGGGACGATCGAAAAATAAAGACATTATTTTTTTGGGGGGGTACTTTTTCGAGTGTTTCTCATTTTCTTCCCAAATCTGCCTGTAGGGAACATGCCCGACCTGAGTATGATTTTCCAGTACGCGGCTCCAGACCCAGGTCCCCCCGCAGCTTGTTGCTCTAGGGGTGCTTTGGGGCTCTCCTGGCCTCGTGAGGCCGTCTGCGCCACCCAGAAAATCCTGGGGGTACCTTGGGCCAGGAGCACTTCTGGCAACCCTTCCAGAGGACGAGGAAGCAGGAGGAGAAGGAGGACGAGGGCGAGGAAGCCGAGGAGGAGGAGGATGAGGACGAGGAGGAAGAGAAACAGGAAGAGGAGGAGGAGGAGCAGAACGGGGAGGAGGAGGCGGAGAAGGGGGAGGAGGAGGAGGAGGAGGAGGAGGAGGAGGAGGAGGAAACAGGAGGAGGAACAGGAGGAGGAGGAGGAGGAGGACGCGAGGACGATGACGGACGTGGGTGAGGGCGAGGAGGAGGAGAAGTAGGAGGAGGGAGGTGGAGGAGGAGGAGGTGGAGGAGGAGGAGGAGGAGGAAGAAGTGGAAGAAGAGGAAGAAGAGGAAAACGAGTAAGACGAGGAAGAAGAGGAGGAAGATGTCGAGGACGAGGCCGAGGACAAGGACTGAGCGAACATTGAATCGTCGGAGATCTGGGGAACCGCGCCGTGCGGGCGTCCCTCGTGGGGGGCAGCCGAGGAAATGGTCCCGAGCGAGGGAGCGGCCAGAGAGGGGGCGGACGGCTCCGCGCGGCCTCCTCCTCCTCCCCCCCCCCTCCTCTCCTTCTCATCCTCATTCTCCTCCTCCCTGTCTCCTCCTCCTCCTCCTCCTACCTCCTGTCCTCCTCTCGTCCTTCTCCTCCCCGACTCCTCCTCCTCCTCCTCCTCCTCCTCCTCCTCCTCCTCATCTCGTCCTCCTCCTCCTCCGCCTCCTCCTGCTCCTCCTCATCCTCCTCCGCTCCGCGGCGTTCCCGAGGCCGCTGTGCTGGCGGGCTTCGCGGTGGGGATGCTGGTGGAGTTCGAGGCGCCTCCTGCCCCTCCTCCCCAGACCCCCTCGCGTTGTGCAAGCATCTCGACGGGAGGCGTTTGGCTATTTTGATGCCCCCTTACCGGGCCACGATACAGTCAAAAACGACCCATGGTGAAAAAGAGGTCCTGGAGAGGTGTCCAGACCTCTGGGGATCGACGTTGTCGGCGGTCTGTGGAGGTAAACTGTGGAGGTAGTTCGCTGGTTTCGGCCTTCGGGGGTCCTTCCTAGGCCTCGGGACCGTCAAAGGATGACTCGGGATGAGAAGCCAGTCCTGGGGAAGGGGTTCAGGCCTCTGGGGGTCGAGATTGTGAAGCAATCACGACGTCGGGGGTCTGGTTCCTGCTCCGCCTCCTCTTGCTGGTTCCCGGTTCCTGGTGGCAAAAGTGTCCTCCCAACGCTGCCCTCTCCCTCCCCCCAGGGCCAGTCGGCCTTGGGGGGGTGATCAAACTAATGCCAGGCGACTCTTGAGGCACCGCTCCAGGAGCCCCCGGTAGGTGGCCGTAGTGGTAAAATGATGGGACCGGCAATCAGGCACGGGAAGGAGGAGATGGAAGAGGCGGAGGACTCCACATAGATGCCAGGAGGGAGGGGAATGGGGGGGAGTCCCTCCCGCCAGAGGTGGTGTGTGCAGCGGCCAGCGCCACTCCTCATCCTGCTCCTCCTGCTCCTTTTGCTGCTCCTTCTTCTGATTCTCCTCCTCCTCCTCCTCCACCCTCGTCCTCCTCCTCCTCTTCCCCCTCCTCCCCCTCCTCCTCCTCCTCCTTCTCCCCCTCCTCCTCTTCTTTCTCCTGCTCCTCCTCCTCCTCTTCTCCTCCTCCCACTCCCTTCTCCTCCTCCTCCTCCTCCTCCTCTCCTCCTCCTTCCTCCCTATCCTCTTCTCTACCTCCTCCTCTCCGCCTCCGCTTCTCCTCTCCTCCCTCCTCACTTCCCCCTTCCTTCCCCCTCCTCCTCCGCCTTCTCCTCCTCCTCCTCTTCCTCACTCCTCCTCCTCCTCCTCGTCCCCCTCCCTCCCCCCTCCTCCCCTCCCTCCTCCTTCCTCGCTCTCTTCCTTCTGCTGCTGCTGCGCCTCTTCCTCATCCACCTGCCCACTCCTCCCGTGCCACCCTCCGCCCTCGGTGGCAGCGGCAGGAGGATCGAAGCTCGGGGCCCCAAGGCTCGCGGCGCCAGGTTCGGGACGGTTATGGGTAGGGATGTGCAAAGACGGGCATTCAGGGTGACAATGATGACGACGACGATGACGACGATGCCGATGACGATCACAATGATGAGTACGATGGCGATGACGCTGCCGCTGATGATGATGATGATGATGAGGAGGACGAGGATGATGATGATGCTGCTGATTATGCTGATGATGATGCTGCTGATGATGCTGATGATGATGATGATGAGTTTGATGGTACTGATGTTGACGATGATTATGCTGCTGATGATGTTGATGATTATGATGACGATGTCGGTGATGGTGCTGATGATGCTGCTGATGCAGATGACGCTGATGATGATGAGGAGGAGGGTGATGATGAGGATGCTGATGCTGATGTTGATGAAAATGAGGATGTTGTTGGTGACGATGATGGGATTGTTGATGATGATGTTGTTGATGCTGATGATGTTGATGATGATGATGATGATGATGATGATGATGATGATAATGATGATGATGATGATGATGATGGTGATGATGATGATGATGATGACCATGTCGACTGCGATGCTGATAATGATGGGGATGACGATGAGTATGATGACGAGGATGCTGATGATGCTGCTGCTGATGATGCTGATGATGATTGCGGATGAGGAAGGTGATGCTGATGAGGCTGATGATGAGGATGAGGATGAGGATGATGCGGATGAGGATGAGGATGAGGATGGTGGTGGTCGTTGTGATGATGATGGTGACAATGATAATGATATGCTGATGCTGCTGCTGCTGCTGCTGCTGATGATGATGATGATGATGATGATGATGATGATGATGATGATGATGATGTTGACGACGATGACGATGACGATGACCGTGGCGATTGCGATGGTGGTAATGCTGATCAGGAGAAGGCGGAGGCGGAGGAGGAGGAGGAGGAGGAGGAGGCGACGGAGGAGGATCAGCAGCAGGATCAGGGTGCCCATCCTTCCCTCTCCCCTCCCTCACTCCCTCCGTCCTTCCTGCTCCCTCCTCCGAAAGTAGGGTCAAGACGAGCCTCTGGAATCCAGGAGCGAGGTTTTCGACTGAGTGTTCGGCCCTCTTTGAGCCCCAAAGGGGCTCAAAGGCCCTTTTGCGGGGACTTCGCGGGGGTCTCCCGGGACCTTTGGGGGCATCCGAGGACTCCGGGAGACTCAGAAGCGGGGAGGCGAATCGAGGAGTTGCAGGGGTCGATGCAGCGGCAAGCGAGGGGGGGAAGCGAGAAGGGGTGGGCCTTCTCAGAAGGCTCGGAAGCCCCCTGGCCCCGAAGTCTTCCCCGAAGACACTAAGAGCCTCTCAGAAGGCGCGAGGGCTTCTGAGACGTCCCCGTTGAAAGTAGGTACTTCTGGATTCCCAGATCCGGACCTACGCCAAGCGCCTTCCTACTTCAACCATCGATATGCTTTCGCTGAGCTCTGTTATGATCTGGATGGGCCCGAACCCAAGTTGTTTCGTCCGCTCTCCTACTGAAAGTTGTTACCTACTTCTCCCGACCACCGTGCACGGTCGACCATGATTGGTAGGTCGACCTTGCCAAAGCAATGGTATCCTTGTGCTTTGCGTCTCGTTACCCATGTCTCCTACATTCCTATGACAACGTGGCCCTCGGAAGGGTATCGTGTCATCTCGCGTGTCCTGTCTAATCAAGGCCGACTGTAGGGTCATACGCTTTAGACTAGTGTTCCGCGAGAGCCTCATTTTGAAAGGGAGCCTCCCTCCAACAGTGCAAGTGTTGTACGAGTCTACACTTCTGGTCATGCATATCGAAGACGCATACGGCGAAGCACCGCCGCCCCCTGCCTTTTTGGAAGCGCCTATGTGGCCGAACGTTGAGGCCAGACCTGACAAGCCATCGGACCATGGGTTCCCCGAATCGGTTGGGAAAGTCTTCGGGGAACACGTGGGCAGCTTGAAGGTCATCTTGGCCGCCTGGAGGCCATTTTGACACGTTCGGGCCTTCTTGGAGGACGTCTTGGAGGGCTCTTGGGCCGTTTTGGAGGCCATCTTGAGCGTCTTGGAGGCCTCTTGGGCCGTCTTGGGGGCTTCTTGGGGCCGTCTTGGGCCTCTTGGGCGATCTTTGGGGGCACTTGGGCCGTCTCGGGCCGTCGGAAGGCCGGAAACAAATAAGCAAATGCCACAATCCTTCAAAAACGCATGGGAAATCAATGATTTTGGCCTTTTCGGGCCTTCCTGGAGGCCCTCTTCGAGGCCTCTTGGGCCGTCTTGGGCCATCTTAGTGCCATCTTCGGCCGTCTTGGTGGGCCCATGGCCCGTCCGATGCCGTCGGAAGCTGTTTGGGGGTCCCTCTGGGCCGACTTGGGGCCCTCTTGGAATGCTCCAGGGCCGTCTTGGAGGCTATCTTGGGCGTCTTAAAAGCCTCCTGGGCCGTCTTGGGGGCCTCTTGGGGCCGTCTTGGGGGCCTCTTGGGCCGTTATGGGGCCATCTTGGAGGCCTCTTGGGCGATCTTTGGGCGATCTTTGGGTGCTCTTGGGCCGTATCGGGCCGTCGGAAGGCCAAAGCGAAGCAAGTGCCAAAATCCTGGGAAAACCTCAGGGAAATCATTTTGGCCTCTTCGGGCCCTCCTGGAGAACCTCTTGGAAGCCTCTTGGGCTGTCTTGGAGGCCTCTGGGGGGCCTCTTGGGCCGTCTTGGACTCTCTTGGGCCGTCTGGGAGGCCGTCTTGGACCATCTTGGGCGGACTTGGAAGCCATTTTGGACCAACTTGGAGGCCATCTTGGGCGGCCACTTTGAGCGAAAAATGTGAGAATTGTGCTCCTTCTCGGGTGGCTGGAGGGACGGGGGAGATCTTTTGGAAAAGAACAAAAACAGAAATTATCTAGCACGCCAGGCACCCCTGTGGCAAGCCAACCGGGGGCGGCGGATCGAAGACGCCTACGGCGAATCACCGCCGCCCCCTGCCGTGTTGAGCCAGACCGTTGATTGGGGGGCCCCACTGGGCCGACTTGGGGTCCTCTTGGAATGTTCCAGGGCCGTCTTGGAGGCTATCTTGGGCGTCTTAAAAGCGTCCTGGGCCGTCTTGGGGGCCTCTTGGGCCGTTCTGGGGCCATCTTGGAGGCTTCTTGGGCGATCTTTGGGCGATCTTTGGGTGCTCTTGGGCCGTATTGGCCGAAAAGAAACAAATGCCCAACACCTTCAAAACCGATGAAACAAAATATTTTTGGCCTTCCTGGCGGCCCTCTTGGAGGCCTCTCGGGCCGTCTTGGGCCAGCTTCGAGCCAACTTCGGCCATCTTGGTGGGCTCCTGGCTTGTCTGACGCCGTCGGAAGCCGTTAGGGGGGCCTCTCTGGGCCGACTTGGGGCCCTCTTGGGGTGCTCCAGGGCCGTCTGCCATCTTGGGCGTCTTTGAAGCTTCTTGGGTCGTCTGTGTGCCCTCTTGGGGCTGTCTTGGGGGCCTCTTGGGCAGTCCTGAGGCCATCTCGGAGGCCTCTTGGGCGCTGTGGGGGCGATCTTGGGGGCCTCTTGGGCCGTCTTGGGTCGTCGGAAAGCCGAAACAGAGCAAATGCGAAAATCCTTCAAAAACTTACGGAAATCAATGATCTTGGCCTCTTCGGGCCCTCCTGAAGGACCTCTCGGAGGCATCCTGGGCCGTCTTGGAGGCTTCTTGGGCATCTCTTGGGCCGTCTTGGGCCGTCTTGGAGGTTTCTTGGGCGGACTTGGAGGTACCTCCTCCTCTCTTGGGCGGACTTGGAGGCCATCTTGGAGGCCATCTTGGGCCATCTCGGCCGTCTTGGAGGCCGTCTTGGAGGCCTCTTGGGGCCCTCTTGGGGCCGTCTTGGGGGCCTATTGGG